AGACAGACGTATAGAGAAGCCATCCTGCAAGACACTGGGGTGTCATGGAGCTTATGGGCAAGCTCGGGCGCCCGCAGCAAATGCACGTGTGCATGTGCCTTTTATGGTGCGGGGGTGGGGGAGTTAGAATTGGTGAGGATCTGGAGAAGGATGTGAATTAAAGGCTGGCCTTGTAGACAAGGGGCGCTCCCAGGTGGAGAGAAGAGGGGCAATCCCGGTAGCAGGAGCGGCTTATGGCAGCCTGGACGGGGCCGCGGGGCAGGGGGAGGTGCGGGGGGGCTAGATTGGCAGAGCGGGTTGAGCTCCCGTTGGACGGTGAATGCTGAGCTGCGGAGCTTAGCATCATTTTGAAATTCCAGGGCGGTGGTGCAGTGTTTGAGAGTAAGGTTCCCCAAAGATAATTGGTAACACAGAGAAGAAAAGAGTGTGCACAGGAGACCAGCTAAAATATCATTCATTTCAGTGAGAGCTGGTGCCTGCGGGGCCAGGCGTGCTGGGTGCAGAGACAGCCGGAAGGTGCAGCCGAGTTCTGGGCCACCCGCTCCCTGTGTGACCTCAGATCAGTCTCCCCTTGTCTGTTCTCACATGGAAGTGGGTTCATGGACTTAGTGGATTTCTTTCCCTTAGTTTTTTTTTAATCCATAAAACATTTATTTGTACTTACTTTAAAAGGTGGCGACGTGGTTGGGGTGTGCTCTGAGATGTAATTGCATGTTTCTAATGGATCCCGTTGAAAAGACGGAATCGTTTAAAATGTACGTGGGTGTTGGCACGTGTTATGTCCCAGTTCTTTCTCTTGTGCTTTAATGAATCAGCCTGTGTAGTGACATTTCTCTATGTGAGCGTCACGAGGGTTTTTTCGTTTGTGTTTACATGTAGGAGTTGCATTTCATTGAATGTGTTTTCTGCCCCCGTTGGGATGATCTGTCCATGTTTCCTCCTTACCTGGTAGTGCGGTGAGTTTCAGGCATTAATTTTCGGATGTTAAACCAGCCTTGCATTTCAGGAATGACCCCCAATTTGGGTTCCTCTGTGTAAGGAATGAGGACTGTGCTAGCATGCTGTTTAGGATGCTGGGGATGTCTGGAAGGCTCACCCCTGTTTACCTGGATGTTTTGATTTGCAATGGAGTCATCAGGAGGGTCATCTGAGGCCCAGAGAGGGCTGGGCCACTGTGGCTGAGGGTTGAGGAAGAGACTGAGGAGTGCTTTGGCCTCTGACCGTTGGTCCAGGCTGGCCTTTGGCCCTGCCTGTTGTATGTGGGCTGACTGAACTGCTGTAAACCCGGATGAGGGAGAGGGGAAGAGTTGTACATCCACCTCGTAGCCATTGAGGGTTAAATGAGTCTGAACATGTGAAGCTGTTAGCCTGCTGCCTCGCCCATGGAATACTCGGTAAATGTCAGCCAGTAGCATCAGCAGCAGCAGCAAGAGCGTTATCTCCATCAGCATCTCCATCAGGATTTCCTTCCGCACCTCCATCAGCATCTCTGTCAGCATCAGCATCTCCATCCCCGTCAGCATCAGCATCTCCTCAGCACCACCATCAGCATCGCCATCCCTGGTGTCGCAGGATCGCACCTCAGCAGCAGCAGGCGCTTCATCTGCAGGGGCCTCCTGCTCCGTGTTATGAGTCCTAGTGGTGCAGATGGGAGTCCTCCTGCCTGGTCCGCGAGCCAGTTCTTTCCTCACACCCTGGGCGACAGTTTCTCGGGCGATCATAGGCGATGACTTTGCCTTGTCGGGTCTCTGGTGCATACGGGGTACAGGTGGCTCAGACCAGAATGTTAATTTCTTATTTGGTGGGAGGAGATCCACGTGCTTGCTCACTCAGGGCTGCTGCCGGCTCCTCCCGAGAGAAAACAAAACCTCCATCCTGGAAAGACCTTCCACGCCGCTTCCTCTCCGTTCCCGTTTCACTTCCACACGCGCCGTGGGAAGCTGCAGGTTGAGAAGGTCACACGGGGTGCGCGCTCCCCGGGGCACCCTGGCCCAGGCTCGGCCTGGAGGAGCAGGAGGCATCTGTGGAGATAACCCCATGCCGTGAGCCGACACCCCGCTCCACAGTGTGGATGATTAACCCGCCATGACCTTGCTCCCCAGCGGGCACCTTGCACTTGTTCCCAGATCTGAACCAATGAGAAGAAAGAGGATAAACCCAACGACTTGCACAAAGGCTGCCAACTCTGCTCTGTTCATGGAGACGCGCGGGCCCCGCCATTGGTCCTTCAACGAGGAGAGACGCTTCTGAACCACGTCCCTGCACCCACCCGCTCTGGGGCGGCTTGGAAGGGTCCAGCCGCCTGAATGAGGAATAATCAAGGAGCCCAGTGGATACTTTGGGTTTGTTTAAGAAAAATTCACGGGGGTGAGCTCACTGGTTGTCTGCACCCAAGAATGGGGAATCGCACAGCCAGGGGCTGCAGGATCCAGAGCCTGCAGCCCGGCGCCCGCTGTCCCAGTGCGGGGCCCCAGCGGCTGGCCAGCACCACCTCGGGTGGTTTCTCACGCCCCCCTTGTGAGTGGCTCCCAATGACAGACGATTGCTACAAACGTCAGGCTTGAAGTGACAGAAACCCAATCTTACAGGTCTGGAGGGCACCAGCCCCAAATCAGGGTGTGGGCCAGGCTGGTTCCTCCTGGAGGCCTGGGGAGGGGGTTGGAGGGCATCTGTTTCTTTCCATTTCTAGACCTGCCCGCCTTCCTTGGCTCAAGGTCCCTTCCTGCCTCACCTTGCCCTTGCTCCTTTCATCAACACGCCTCCTCTGTCCCCACGTGCCTCCTTCCTCTGTGCCCCTGTGATCACGTGGGGCCCACTGGATAACCCAGGATCCCCCATCTGCTTGCAAGGGGCATCCTCACGGGTTCTGGGGAGTCAGATAGGGACGGCTTGCGGGTGTCATTCTGTCGGCAGCATCCCCACCCTGCCACACCCTTGTCCAGTCATCCTGAGTCTTTCGAGTCACCTCTAAATGGGGGGTTACTTGGGTAATGTTCTAAGAACAGAGGGCTGGGGGTGGCTGTCACTCGACCTGGGGTGCATGCACCCTCACCTCCAAGTCCATGGTCGTTCAGGCTTGTGCATAGTTCGGTTTGAAGTTTCTGTATGAGATGGTCACAACTGCTTCTGTCCGCTGACCTCAGGGAGGGAGGCAGGTGCTTCGGGGCTTTGCACATGTCTTGTCAATTCAGCTGGACCGGGACATGCTTACAGTGAACGTGTTCATCTTATTTTTGATGTGTGTCTTTTCCACCTCTCTAGCAGAGTAGGCCTGCTGGAGGGCGCTTTTGAGGACTGTGGTAAACGCGTCTCTGCATCCTAATGGTTGGGAGCACGATTCTGATGGGTAGAGGCAGCGTGTGCTGCATGCTTACTTCTTGCTGAAGAGTCGCCATAAAATGCTAAATAAACTTAATGACGTCTAATAACCATTTATGTCAGTTGAACACACTAAACTGAAATTTGGTGAAATGGAGGGAAATGTTTGCAAAAATGGGGTTTTCTACGTAGGTGAGTCTTCAGTGTTCAGAAATTTTGTGAACATGTGACTCTGCTTGCTTTGGCTTTTTAAAAAGGATTCTGGTAGTGGTAGGAGACTTTCTTGCCATAAAAACGAAGCACCTCTGGCCCCAATAAAGGCCTGTACCGCTGACCGTGTGCGCGGGTTCAGCCGGCGTGACCACGACCAGGTCCACCGGGGATTAGTTACTTGAGGACACACAGTGCACATGCAGTCCTGCTCTGTGCCAGGGAAAATTCCAGAACATCAGGGATTGTAGAGTATTGTCAGTTTTCAGGACCTATCTCTGTTATTGGATTGTAAAACCACAGATAGGCATATCAGGGAGGCTGTAGCTTTCAATGGCAATATCCGTAGTTGTATGGTAGCTTTAAAAAAAAAAATCAGTTTGGTTCCAAAGAATATTCAGCCCACGTGTAATTGATTCTCAGGGAAAAGTCCTCTGATGGATTAAAAAAATCCCTAATGGAGATTAAAAACTGGTATATGAGGTGATAGTAAAAATGTTCGCCACGTCCTCCGTTTTCTTCACTCATGCAAAGAATAACGTTCTCACACCTGCTGCAACATGGACCTTGAAGACACGAAGCTACCAGGGAGATGCGGAAGGACGAGCGTGGTGTGTTCCAGCTCTGCTTTCTGTCGGTTGAGGACACTTAAACTGAAATTTGGTGAAATGGAGGAAAATATTTGCGCTCAAGGGCAGAGACTGAAAATTTGTGGGGTTGGGTGCAGGGAGCAATGGGGAGGCCTTGCTTAATAGGTGGGACATTTCTGATTGGCGTGAAGAAGACTTTTGGAAATTGATAGTGGCGAAGAAAAGCTTTGGCAATGGAAGTAGCGATGGTTGTGCCACATTGATTGCCACTGATGTGACTTAATTACATGCTTAAGGTGGCAAATTTTCCATCGTATCTATTTTCCCATAATGAAAATGATCACTTAGGATTGTCTGGAGCTACGAGGTACTTCTGGATTTCTTCTCCTGAAATGGATGACCCTCTATATTTGTCTCTTGAGAGGAAAGGCTGCCTCTGTGGCTGTCCTGGAGAATAATTCAGGCAAAGACTGAATGTATCTTATGAGTTAAAATGAGCGGAAGGAAAATGTCATTGAGATTTTTATTGGAATTGCACTGAATCTGTAAATTGCTTTTGGTAGGATGGCCATTTTGATAATGTTAATTCTTCCGAACCATGAGCAGGGAATGTCTCACTTCTAGGTGGAATAGAGAGAAACCAAACAAAAGGTCAAGAAAAAGTCAAAACTAGCCAGCAAGCCGTGGCACTGAGCCATCCAGCAAAGGAGGGGGAAGGAACGGGAGGGAGGCGCACAGGGGAATATGGCGACATGGTGGAGGGAGCACCATGGGGACTACAGTGATGTAAGAAAAAGTAATTTAATTAATCGAAGAAGAAGAGCAAAAGCCGTTGGCGCGGTCTCTGCTAATATCTTTTAATCTCCTTTTTCTCCTGAACAGCTTTTTACAACTATGACGCCAGGGGAGCGGACGAGCTTTCTTTGCAAATCGGAGACACCGTCCACATCTTGGAAACCTACGAAGGTGCGTATACGTGTGGGGGCTTTTCTCCTGGTTTTGGGCTCTGAGCATCTTTCCCGGGGTCTGGTGGGCAAAGCCACACCTGCTTCTAGAGCTTGGCAGTGCCTGTCTTGTATGGCCAGTTCCTGGCCTGATGGAGGCCGTTTCATAGGTAAGGGGTGTACTGAGTTTTTCTGGCACGTAAGTCGTGCTTTATTACGATGAACTGGAAACTTAAAATTCCCATATTTACCCTCTGAGGTTTTGGTTCCTTTTTTTTTTGGGCAAATGCACGTAAATCTCAGCTGGTTGTAAAAAATACATGAAAGATACTTTAGTGTTTACCTCATTCTTTTGAGGTGTTTGTGGATTGTGACACCTTTTATTCTCCAATTTGCTGACAACATCCTCAGAGGAATCCAAATTGTTATTTCTTATTCTCTTTCTGTTTTTAATCCGTGACCCCATTTTCATAGGCATAAACATACTGTCACTGCGATGTGGGGCGTGACGCAGTCGCTGCAATTTCCCCACAAATACGCCGCTGGGGTCGTGTTCTGAGGCCTGGATTTGAGGAGACAAGTTCTTGTTTTGCATGTTCTACCCACAGGCCCCTTTTACTTTTCACGCTGCAGTTCTTATTGCGCAGAAGGGCTTGAGTTTTAGATCTTCAGGTCTGGAAGTTTTGTAAGACTGGGTCTCGGTGTAGTAGCTTTGCATCCTGTCTGCAGGGTTGACCCCCACAAGGTATATGAATGGGGAGAACTAATTAGAAATGGTAATTCAAGCAACAACATTGCCTTTCGATCTGGTGGAGCCAGGCCCTTTCTAGTAGGCTGTGGGGCAGAGAGGAAGTAGACCACAGCCCATGGTCGTCCGTCGGTCCACTCTGCACGGGAGGGGGCCCTGAGCCTTTGCGGGTGTGCACTCCCTGCTCCCGGCCGGCCCCTCGAGAAGTGCAGACCTGCGTAAACAGCCCTGTTCCTGGGCCCCGCCCTGCACATGCTCGCGTCACATCCTGCTCCATCTGTACCTTTTAGCCCAGAGAGACCCTATCGGAACATCAAGTCAGTTGTCCTGGCTTTGGCCGGACGCAGACGTGGGGCTGTCCCAACGCGGGCACTGGAGGGTCGGCCCACTCCGGGTGCAGGGCCCACTCTGATGGTTCAAGTGACCCTTTTTCAGAGTACGCTGTAGTCTTTGCCTATTTTCGGTGTCTGAGTCCTTAATTCACACGTCCTCAGTGTGAATTTTGGTGGCGGGCAACAACATGGCAGTTGGCTGCCCGCTGGGAGCCGCCCTCCTTGGCCTTCGTACCTGCTCTCTGTGCCTCTCCCCGCAGCGCCTGCCTCCGCCCTGCCTGGTTTGTTCCTGAGAGAGGTGGGCCCACGTGGCTGCAGAGTGTGGGGATAGGCCGCGCTGACATCGTGTGTGTGTGTGTGCGCGCGCGTGTGCGTGCATGCGTGCACGCACTTGGGGTGCTGGGGAGGCTGTTGGGGGTGTTGGTGACTGGCCCTGGACCCTGTGCCAGCAGATGGAGGGGCTGAGTGTCCTCCACTCTCCCCGGCATGGCCCCCCCAGCATCAGTGCTGCTCTCTGCTTGGCCTGGCGTGCCCTGGCGTGCCGTCTTCCGAGCTGCTGTTTTCCTTCCCTGCACTCGTGGCGGGAGTGGGAGGCTGCGTCCGGGCCAGACCCACAGGGGCAGGTGGGCCTGTGTTCCGGGCTTTGCTCCTACTTAGGCCCCATCTTTGCCACAGAAGTACTTTGTGGGATGAGAGGCCGCCCCTGATTGATGGGAGGAAGTCGGCTCAATGGGGTTCTGTTATGGGGCAGCCCTCTATGATCTGAGGGTGCTGGAATGTGCCCTTGCCAGTGACCCGGATCTAAATGGGACAGTGGGAGACACAAAAAATGCACACCCAGGATGGCCCTCAGGGACCGTTGTCCAAAGGGCGCGGCCTCCCCCAGAACGGTGCTTCCTGAGCCGGGCCTGCAGCGGGCGGGGGTGCAGCAGCTGGGGCCATCCGGGAGTGTGGAGGCCTCAGGGTGAGAGTCCCGTGGACGTCTCTGGCCTTCGGGTCACGAGCCTGGTGAGGGGCCCACACTGAGTGTGTGCCGGTGCTAACTGTTTCAACTTTTGTGCTTCTTTAGGGTGGTACAGAGGCTACACCTTACGAAAAAAGTCCAAGAAGGTAAGTCCTTCTATTTATTAAACACAGTTTTTGCCCCTTCGTAAGTCTCAGTGTGAGAGGAAATCAATTCTCGCTCATTTGTGCCCGAGTTCCCCTCTATATCTCTGTCTCGAATCTGAGAAATGTGGGGCTGCCCCGACCTGTGCTCTCCCAGGCCTCCGAGCCCTGCCTCCCGCCGGGCGTCCTGGGCCTCCCTTCTCTGAGCTGGCAGGATCCCCGTCCTGTTTAGGCTCATGGCGAATAAGAGCATGATCCGGGTCAAGTGACCTCAGATGAAATGAACACTGCTGTGGGCTTCAGGCCCACATCCTCCTGACAGTAGCTTAACGGATTTGCGAAGCTCTTGCCTGCTTCTGCTCCCCTTTTTACGCCGCTGACGTGGGTTTGCGGCAGGAAGAGGCCGTGCCTGCTGGGCAGTCTGCACGCGTGGTTGTCTGGATTTGGAGGGAGGCTGCCATTCCTGCCGCTCCCTGTGCGGACACGCCCGGGCTCTGCTCTGTTGTGGCTTTTCCGCGCTTAGTGTCCCCGAACCTAATTGTGGCTCATCGGTTTCATTCCGCGGTTTGGAAGCCAGGCCTGGCCCTGCTGCAGGCAGGCTGTCTCGGGCCTCTGCGTCCCTGGTCGTGCTTGGCAGTGGCTCATCTTCTTAACTTCGCCTCTCATTATCTCCTTATTGGCCCCAAGCTTCTGTGGGCCAAAACCTGTAACTAAGGATGCCGGTGACTTCTGGGGAGCGTAGGGCATCCCTGCTCTCCTTCCTCGGGGGACCCCTCCCCCAGATCCGGCTTGAGGGCGGGAGAGCTGCTGATCTGCTAGTGCTGGTCACAGGGGACACCCAGGCGGAGCTCCTCTGGCTTCGCGCTGCCGCTGTCCTGTGAGCGCCGGAGGCCCAGATCTGCCGAGGGGGGCAGAGCCCCCACCCAGCCGGCTGGGCTCGTCTCCTCCTCCACCCGAGCGCACACCCATCCACCTCAAAGGTGTACCTGAAAGCCATCCGGGGTTGGGGGTGTTCCCCATTTACGGACTGGAAAGAGCCCCCCAGCGTTCGGCTCCCTCGGTCTTCTTGCTCGGTGTCTGTCTTTCTGTCCGACTCCTTGCCTCTCTGTCTTAATTCTCCTTCCTGTGAAATCTTTCTGGTGGGCAGAAGAGTGTGACTCGGCCCAGAGTGAGACCTGTTGCTGGGGTTTCCCATGTAAGCCTTTTGGACCAGATGCCAGGGAAACCCAGTCAGCCTGGTCCAGGACAGGTGCCGGGAAGCCCCGGTGCCACTGCCCCATGAAGCCTGTCCACACACCAGACCCTCGCCAGGAGCTGGGAGGGCTTGCTTTGTGCTGAGACCCAGTGCCTGTGGCCTCACGGCCTGCCTTTCGGGTGCTTGCCTTGCTCCCCCAAGGCTCTGCCTGCGCGGGGGCAGGACCAGCCCCATGGAGACACTCTGGCTCTCCATGGACAGTGCCTGCCGCCGAGTGTGCTTGTGAGAAACCCACCTGGGCATGCGTGTGCACTGCCCTGGGGGTGCGGAGTGCTTGTCAAAGCTGGGTTGCTCCCCGGGGTTGTGCAGATGAGGCAAGTCCGCCTGGTTCCCAGAGTTTAGCAGCCGGCCCCTCTGTTTGGAGCCCGATGGGACATCTCGGCGGGTCAGGCGAGCTCCCGCGTGGCCCTAGGACTTGCTGGGGCAGGCCAGCTCTCGGCCCGGCCAGCCTCGTGGAAGGAGGACCGGTCAGGGGGCTCCAGCCGCGATGCTCTTCAGCATCCTTGTCCGCTGTCTGCCTGTCAAGGTCCCTGGGAGTCTTTCTGTTTGCCTCGAAACATCTGCAGCTGCTTCGCCTCTTGGGCGCGCTGAGTTGCTCTCTTCCTAGTTCCCTTTGAGAGGCTGGATGTGGGGCTTTGCCTAAAGCTGCACAGCTCAGAGTCACCCAACCCTCCCCCACTTTGGGGGGCACTGGCTTGCTTTGCAGTCACTATTTGTCTCGATAATAACATTCTCTGTCTTGTCTCCCCCACAGGGTATATTTCCTGCCTCATACATTCATCTGAAAGAAGCGATCGTCGAAGGGAAAGGGTGAGTCTGTTGCTCGGGCCGGGCAGAGAGGCGCTGTCTGTGTCTGGCCCCCAGCTTCTGCGGGGTGTGCTGCTGCGGCAGGGCCGGGGTCACGGGTGCGGTTGGCTGTGGTGGGGTCAGAGCTGTGGGGGAGAAAGGGAACTTTTGATCTGGGGGTGTCCACAACATGACTTTGAGCCCCTAAAGAGTTCTGTGCCCCAACTACGTCGTCCTTGGCTGTGATGTTCACCTTGGGACGCGTCTGGGCTGGGCTTCCTATGGGAGCCGCCCCCTCAGGCCCAGGCTCCGAAGCCCCCAGCTCTGGGTCCACTTTCCGGGAAGAATTTGCAGACTGTGATCCAAATGGAGTTTAGGGTGAAGCGACAGTTGTTCAGCTGGGACCTGGTGAACGTACAGTGGGTCTAATTGTGATGTATGTTCTTACAGGTCCTAAAACGATGTATAAGATCATTAAAAGGACATTTGTAGAACAGGAACCCATTAGGCAGGAATGGCAAATGAATAGACAGGTGTAACCTGGAAGAAGGAACATTAAAATGTTTTCCTTTTTTGTCTCTGCCACATCTTCACACTCAGTTAAATATGTAAATTATAAAATTACTAATCATATGATTACTGCATAATGACATCTCTTTGGCTGATTACAAAATTGCCTTTCCAAGCACTGTACTTTTAACATATGAAAAGGACTAGCTGGGGCCTTGCCATTCCATGGTGCGTGATTAAAATGAAGAAGGTAATTTAGAGGCATAAATGGCGATGACCTGTAAGATGGCATTTTTTATACAGGCAAGTTGTTTTATACGCAGTGTTTTAAAGGGAGGGATAAAAAGGGAAACTTTTGAAACTTTCACCCCGTCGTGGAAATAATTGAATCAAGTGTTCTTGAGTGTGTTTTACATCTGTGTGTGTCAGAATCCGCAAGGTTTCATGCACATCATTTGCTCAAAAAAGCACTTTGATGTGCACGAAAGACTCTATGGAACGCGTAATCAGCCAGTTCCCCGGTGAAGCGAGCAGGGATTGTTTTGATTCCCAATCAGCGGTGGCTCGCCCAGACAGACAGACACTCACTGGGCCAAGGGGGGTGCCCCTCGTGAGCCGGAGAGGGGGATGCTGGCCAAGCAGCAGTTCCCCTGCTGATGCTTTGGGGCTGCCTGTGGCGTTCTCATACCAGGGCCCTGGCCCTACTGTCCCCCTCTGCTGCTCCGTCCACCCCTAGCTGCCCACTCCTGCCTCTTGCAGAGGCTCTGCTGCCTCCAGACTCCACGGTGGTCTCCCCCTGCGCTCCTCAGCCCTTTTGCTTTCTCCTAGCTTCCCTCCTTTGCTGCACACCTGCCTTCTGCCCTCCAGGTCCCACCTGGCTCTTGCAGGAGGCCTGTCTCCTGCAGGGTCTCTTGCACGGTCTCTGCCATGGCTTCTGCTCTTGATCCCAGCCATCACGTCCTTGGCTGTGCGGCCGCCACCGCCACACCGATGCTGCGCCTTCCCCCATAACCTTTCGTCTCCTTTCCATACCGGCTCCGCTCCCGAGGCCTCCTGGTTTCAGACTGCACCCCTCCTCCGTGCTCCCCTCCCTCGGCGAGCGCCAGTGCCGCGCCCCACCTCTTCACTGTGATGCCATCTCCCAGTTTCTGTTGCCGCCCCATCCCCTGCCCGCCACGCTCGCCCCTCCTTGGGCTTCTCCGTTCTTGGCCCTCTCTTTGGAAGGCTTCTGTTCTCGCGCCTTCAGCTGTCCCCTCTGCAGTTTGCTCAGGTTGGGGCTCCAGCCCTGACTAGTGCCCTGGAGTCTAGTTCCATCGTCAGAGCCAAGTGGCCAGGAAACCCCCTGAGCGCCAGTTTCTGCTCATCCCCCACACGCCCTGTATGACCTTCTGTCCCTCGTCTCAGGTCTTCTCAACAGCCCTAGGAGGCAGGCGCTGTTGGGCTGTGCAGCTGGTCCCCGGCAGGCAGCAGGGGGTTATAGTGACACGCGAGAGGAAGTATGTTAGCGCCACGTCCGTCCCCGGAGGGATCAGGCCAGTTGCAGAAGCAGAAAGTCAGAGGGTCCAGTGAGACCGGGACACAGTGCGGGTGGCATCTGGGATCTGGGTCTAGATGAGCTTCACGTTTCTAAGAGCCAGGGGGCTCAGCACGCAGGATCTGATAGCCAGGGTTGTCTGCTCACAGGATCTGATAGCCAGGGGGGTCTGTACGCAGGATCGGAAAATGAAAACCACTGGGTTCTGGCGACCGATGTCTTCACGGTGAGATTGGATTGGAGCCCTCCTGGCATGCTCTGGAGAACGGCGTCGGCCCACCTGCACCCTCCTGGGGACCTGCTGATGGGCGTGGGGGCCGGGCTGTTTGAGTAGTCAGGTCCCAGCCCATCAAAGGGTCATTGGCAAAAGCCACATCGCGAAGGTGGTCTTGCACGGCCCCTCCCAGATGTCTGGTCCCTGCTACTCCCGCTGCCCACATGGCCGCTTGGCCACCACTGGCTGGCTCCGGGGCGCCCACTGTTTCTGCCTCGGGGACTCCAGCCACTGGACGAGCCCATCAGGGAGCGGAAGGCGGCCCTGGGCAAGTCTGCACACCGAGAAGGGGCCTGTGCGTGTCCCCGTGCTGCCCGGAGGCCCAGTTGAGGCCGTGAAGTCTGGGTGCCTGTGCTGTCCTGCCCCAACTAGTTTGAACCCCGCTAGCTCACAGCCCAGCTCAGGCCATGTGGCCAGAAAATAGTGGTTGATTTAAAAGACAGTGTAAAATAGATAATGAGTTAGGAATGAGTCAGGGTTAGCCTGCTGGGGTGTGGAGAACAGGGTAAGGCGTCCATCAGTCCATCAGTGTTTGGGGATGAGATAAAATACCCGAGACACCCGCGGCTGTGGCCTGTTCCTCTCGCCACGGCTGAGGGCTTCATGTATCTATCCTGAGTTCCGAGCCTGATGGAAATGTGAAAATCATCTTAACCCAAACCTGCATTTAAATGCCAGGCAGATTGGTTGTAATTTATGGCATCTGTAAGATGGATGGGCACGCATATTATGAATGTACTTGCTGCGCCCCAGACCTTGATGTTCTGAAGACTTTTAATGGGGTAGTATTTGCCTCCTTCATCTTACCTTGACAGGTGAGAGACAGCGCCCGTGTGGGGTAATGTATGGACATTCTCGGGCCCTGTGCAAATATTACTTGTCATCGCGCGAGGTGGAGGTATTCCCACGTGTGGACTCGGCCTCATCGTGTCTCCTCGCCTGCTGGCTGACACGTCAGGAGCGCAGGACTTGCAGGGTGTGGCTGGCAGTGGCTCATGAAGGCCGGGACTCAGCTGTGCTTTTCTCCTTCCCTCCCAGGCAACATGAGACAGTTATCCCCGGGGACCTCCCGCTCATCCAGGAAGTCACCACCACCCTGCGCGAGTGGTCCACCATCTGGAGGCAGCTCTACGTGGTGAGAAAATGGGGTGTAAAGTGGGCATTTCAGACCCAGCTGTACCCACCGCAGATTTCTCCTTTCCCTGGGGCCCTCCAAAGCAGAACTTCCGGGACAGGCTCATTCTCAGAAAGCACCGGGACCCTATAGTCTGGCCACCGAGGGAGGCTGAGTGCCCTTTGACCTGCCTGCTTTATATTGGGGTGCAGTTTTGGCTTCAGTAATAAAGTGGCTGGAATGGAAGGGAACCCAGCTGCTTTGGGGCTCCTGGTGGACAGGCTGAAGCAGTTTGCACGAGTGTCCCCCGGAGTTTATATTTTGATGATGGGAGGGAGAGTCTGCTGCTGAGCAGTCAGGGCTCCTCTCTGGATGCAGGAGGGGTGCTCATTAGTTATTCTGCCATCAGCAGAGCATCGGTAATGCCTCCTCTTGCTGGAGAAAAGCTCCACAGTCTCTGGACTTATGCGTGGGGTGCGGACGGAGGGAGAGCATTTGCATTCTGGCTGCTGGTGCAACTGTCCAGTCCTGATGCTGGGAGAAATCTTATTAATGCAGAGAGGTTGAGGCTCTGACATCTTCCATTTCCTATCCCCTCAGGGCAGTGCTTTGCACATAAATTCATATTTGCACAAGATTACCTTTTGTTAAGCCTGTATTTCTATTCAGAGTGTTGATTTCTCATATGCTAATGCTGTCAGCACAGCGCGAGGCCTCCAGAGGGACGTGAGTGCAGCAATTTCTCGGAACGTAGAAAACTTGCGAAAGTCCCACAGCTGCTCTCTGGGCAAGCTTGCTGTTTTTGATTATACAGTGGTTTCCGATAAATGCACAGTAATAAGCGGTTGCAGTAATTGTTCATCAAATGCTCTCAAAACCCAAAAAGCGTAAAGTTAGCCACGAATGTTTTGTGTAAATCTGAGCAATTTTGTCGTCGGTGTTACTTGTTCAACTTAGCAATTTTTAAACAAAAATCTGGCAGCCAAACAAACAGGAGAGCGCCGATGAGGGTGTCGGCGGACACTTCAACACATAGCCTCGGCCCCCGAGAGCGCCTGGGAGCTCTTTCCAGAAATTTACATTTGCCTCGTAGGGGTTGACATTGTTGGATTTGGTCAAAGTAAAAACAAAATTCCTTATAGTATTTTATAGGAGTGGTTTTTTTGCCTTTTTTTTGACTCTAACTTCTGGTAGATATTGGAGACAAATTAGAAAGATATTAAGTATTTTTGATACTTAACAGGGCTTTAGAAAAATGCATCAGGTGAATTAGTGATAAAGCATTAATTTTGACCATTTAGTTTTCATTTCAGAAATTAAAACTAAGATGATACTGTAGAGAAGAGCTCGTTGGATGTAATAGTCTGGCAGGGGTTATGAAATGGGTAGTTGGAGCCTTAGATGTTCTAGAAAGAAGGTCAAATGCTAGAAGTAGTGGGGGTAGAGGTGCAGAGATGTGAAAGTAGCAATGAGCATATTTTAATCACTCACTGCCCCATGATGATTGGGATCTTTTCCTTGTCACCTCCGTTTCTTTTCCTGGAAACACCCCCCGGGTCTTTGTTCCTTGGGGAGGTCCCTGATTTCCATGAGGATTCGTACCCTTGCAGTCGCAAGCCTGTTGCTTTTCTTTGCACATCCATCCCCTTGTAAACCACAGGCAGTGATAAGAAGTGTGAACTTGTGTTTTCCTTCTGGCATAAATGCACCAAGAGTTTGTGGATTCCGATTCAGCTTCTTGCAAGGCCCCAGTGTTTCCTGAGGAAGCCTCAGCGCCCAGGGGCCTGTACCTGCGGGTCTCTGCTGACTGCCAGGCCTGGCTGGCTGCTCTGGGCCGAGCTGGCCAGGGCGGCACAGGGCACGTGAATACTGGGGAGGCAGAAACAGGTGGTGAGGGAGTTGAAGGCTGCGCTTGCCTGGGCCAGATCTGAGGAGGTCACGGGCTGGCTCTCAGCCTGTCCGTCCAGATCCTGCACCGGAAAACCTCTTGACTCAGCCGTTCATACCCTGGTATGACTTTGCTGGGCACCAACTTGGGATGATGTCTTCCAATTTCCTGCTAAGCACCTCTTTTCATTTGACAAGAATTGAATCTCATCCCGTAAACCATAGACGACATTTGTATTTGAAAAGAAATCCGCGGTCCTGTCTAATGCCAAAACTTTACCCCTGGCCCTGTCCTCTCACGAGCAGCAGGATAACAGGGAGATGTTCCGGAGCGTGCGACACATGATCTACGACCTCATCGAGTGGCGCTCCCAGATCCTCTCTGGCACGCTGCCGCAGGACGAGCTCAAGGAGCTGAAGAAGAAGGTCACGGCCAAGATCGACTATGGAAACAGGTTGGTTTATCTGAACGATGATATCACACTTAATTTATCCAATAGAATATTCTCCCCTACGCCTGGAGGAGTCTAAAACTATATTTTATCACAAGCAGAATTTCTAGCCTCAAAATAACGGCGTGGTTTTCATTTTCTATTATATCCTGGAAATCAGAACTTTCTGGAGTCATTATACCCCCCTATTTTTTCAGCAGGAAGTCTGGGAGCTGGGGCTGGGAGCCTTTCCTCTTCATTCTTCTATAGAGGACCCCGTGATTCTTCCTCCTTCTCCCCTCCCCCAAGGAGGAACTTGTACTTTCTGCTCATAACATTCATGACAATTTTTTTTTTTTTTAAGATTTATTTATTTATACAAGAACCGGGGTACAGGCCAGGTGTGTGGAAGGGTGAGAGGATTCACCAGAGACAGAGCGGGGAACAGAACAGGCAGACTCACAAAATACACTGCTGAGGGGAGCAGCGGGCGTGACAGGAGAGGTCTGCCGCACCATGTGGGACCCTCGCCGGCTGGCCGGGATCAAACCAGCGCTGCAGAGGCTGTGGACCGCTTCATAGCTCTGCGCTCAACCGCCTGCGCCACCAGGGGAGGCTCCACAGCATTTGTCTTTGCCTCCACTCATGGGGACGTGTTGCACTGAGGATACCAAGTTTGTAGAGTGGGAGGGGATGTCCAAGATGACCTTAAAACTTGTCATCCGTCTAGGGTTGCCAGATATGGCCACAAAATGTAGCTGGTGAGTCTCGATTTCAGGGACGCAGCCACTGACTGCTGTGTGGTGTGTCTCGTGCAAGGGCTGCCACCCACACGGCCCCTAGGGCCTCCATGGGGGCTGCTCACCTGCCCTCAGCTGCGGTGCACTCGCTCCCCTGGCTGCTCTGACCTTGGACGGAAACGAGCTGCTCTCAGCCTTCCCTGACAGCCTCTGTAACCAGGCGGGCCCCTGCCTGCTCCACCAGTAACGATTTGGTTGCGCAGATAATGTCAGAGCTGCGGGAAGCCCTGACTTGACCGGGTCTCTGGTACCCAGATGCTCGTCTGTCTAGATCAGAGTCCATCACGGAGCTTTGGAAATGCAGAATCCTGGCACCTCGTCCTTACTGCTCTGACCTGTGATGCCTTGGAAGCTGCTTGGAAATGCCTGGATTTAAAATTGACTTGGACCATGAGGAATAGCAGTTTGGGGAACTTTCGGTTTAGTCCAACCCACACTTTGCACAGCAGCACAGAGAGCTCAAGGGAGAGGAAATTTTGCCCCTGCTCTTCAGCTGAGGGAGGGAACTCAGCCGTCTCTCTGTTACGTCAGAATGATACCATGAATTTTGCTTTCTGGTAATTCATATTTTCAAGTGTGAGACGTTTCTCAAAGCAGCATAATTAGAATGATGGACGGGAGTCTGGATCAGAAGAATGCAGGTGAAGGCTGTTTTCCTCCAGAGACGTCTGGTGTATTGGATATTGTTGCAGTGAAACCCACTCCAGGGCCAGCTGCTTCTAGAAACCCAAATTTTGGAGCTTTGATTTTATTTTCTATTGGAGTATCGTATTTTGAACTTATGTTCAGAAACCACCTGCTTAATTTGGCTGCAGGAAGCTACCAAAGTACATTAAGTCGTGGAACAATCTAGTTAAGAAAGGAAGTGTTTCCAAACGTAATTTACGACGCTGATAGGAAACACAATCCTTAGTAAGACAGCTTTTCGCCTGAGGAACTCAAGTTTAGTCCATGATTTCTCTAAAGCCCAATGCTCTGTGCAATCTTTCTAGTTCTTTCTATAGTAAACAAAATAACACAAAATTAAATCACAGTGATGCGTTTGATTTCAAGATGGTTTCTGGAAGGCATTTGAGAATGTGATGAAGATCGTGAACCATTTCTCCAGAGGGTGAACATCCATCTCTCTCTCTCTCTCTTCTTTCTTCTGTCTCTCTCTCTCTCTCTCTCTTTCTCACACACACACACACACACACACACATACACACACACGTCACATGTAATTCCAGGGGGTTTCTGTCCCCTTCCTTGAAGGTGCTTTAGTCTTCCGTGGAATTAGTCTATGATGGCGTCAGGTCTCCTATTGGGAAGCTCACTTTGGATTCAGAACCACATGAGCTGACGGACATAGAGAGACCGATACGGAGAAGACCCCCAAAGCCATTTTCTGTGCTGATGGTTTGCATATGGCATTCTGGACAGAGCATGCACTTTGTCCGGAGAGGGTCCTGACTCAGGGTCCAGGCTCTAGGCTTTCCTGAATGTTTCCCTGAGATGTTTCCACGCCTCCTTTGGGAAGTGGATCTGACCACCTTTCTTGGCAGGACTGACTGAGTGGTGTGTATGTAGTTGGCAGTTTATTCACGGCTGGGGAATGACCTGGACCTCCATTCCTCATTACCTGGGTCCGTGTGGCCTGCAGGACCTACTAGTTCAGGGGCTTTGTAGCTGTGCCCACACCCACACCAGCCTTGGCAAACCCACACCCCATCTGACCTCCCACCCTCATTAACATTAACCCCATCCAGACCAGCACTGGCCCTCCATATTAGCACTGGCCCCGCCCACACCAGCACTGTCTCCTCCCAGGGTCTAATTTCCAGCTGGCATGACCACCCATATTTGGGAGCGAGTGGCTTTGTTAGTGTAATGTGTTACCAAGTCCAACTAATGAAAGGCTTAAAAAAGTGTCTTTCCCTCCCCTGGAGGCACCCCCAAACCAGCCAAAGCCTCTGCTGTTGGTGTCCCGGCCCACTTACCCTCCCCTTGGTGGCCAGGCCCCGTTGATGGAGTTTGCTCAGTGGCTATAAGGAGGGAAGAATAAGGCTTGGTGATGGCCTTGCGAGTGGTGCGGCGCGGTGGTCCCGAACCTCTCAGGCCAGCGGGGCTCGGACTGACGCCCAGTGTAAGGTGCGCGCGGAGAGGGGAGTGTGAGGGATGGAACGTGATCGTTGGCAAGTCAGCTTTCTCCTTCAACTGGAAACAGTGAAAGACATTTTCTAATTGAAATTTATCTTTCAAATGACTCCTTTGCTGTCTTATTAAAAAAAAAAATCCTGCTTCTGTCAGATTGCCCATAGCGGGAAGAAAATCCCAAAGGCAAACTGTGAGGGCTCTGCGGTTAGGATCAGGTCTTACTCAAAGGAAAGCCAGTCCGGACCTCCGCAGCCCAGTCCTGACTTCTCCGTAGCTAATTAATTGCCTTTGCTTGTTCTTGAAATAAAACTCATGGTCATTATCACCTAGCCACTTTGTTGGCTTTGGGGGTTCTGAGAAAATGCTGCCCCCAAATAATTCCTGATATAGATGGGCAGATTTATTAGCCAGATGCTGCTTGTGTGTCAAGCTGGCTACCACATTGAGCCATCTGGCCAGAAAGTCTCTTCACATTATTGTGAATAACGTCCATATGGTTGAGACACAATAGAACATCTTTATCAGAAATCCGGGTTAATCTGCAAGTTAGAGCTGGCTGTAGGTAGCAGGAAGGTGGGGAGCTGGTGAGCCAGGGGGTGGGAGTGTGGTTCTTTGCCAGCTTTTCCTCCTGCCTCCCCACCAGGGATGATGCCCACCATCAATTCAGAGTGTGTGTGTGTGTGTGTGTGTGTGTGACAGTATATATGAAAACACACACATACAAATGTGTATATCTCTACACACACCATATGCACCACATATATATGCACTACAGACATACATACACACAAAAATCGTATGTACACATACACGACACATACACAATATATAGAGATCCCCCATATACATCTATACATACATTTTACATATGTAGTATGTGTGTGCTTTAAAGTGTCTATATTTCACATAGTTATCCATACTATTTCATTTGGGCTTTGTAGATCTGTAAAGTTGCTAATTGCTATGTAAAGTCACTATGGCAATAGAAGAATTGGAGTTCTTTTTTAAATTCCAGGGTAGGTGTGCTACATTCAATGAAGCAACCTTACAGAATTTTGTTCCCTGATGTTCACGGGTGACCCAGACTTAATGGAATGTTCTCATTTGCTCAGTTGCTGGGGCGGAAATCATGTTAAAGCACATTTTCATGAACTCTTAAATTTCTGTTATTCCAGAATTCTTGATTTGGACCTGGTAGTGAGAGACGAAGATGGGAACATTTTGGATCCGGAATTAACTAGCACCATCAGTCTCTTCAGAGCCCATGAAATAGCTTCTAAGCAAGTGGAAGAAAGATTACAAGAAGAAAAAGTAAGTCTGCCTCCGTAATATGCCTTTTACACACGCGGTACATTTTCCCAGTACAGCTTTCAGCCTGGCTGACACCTCAGTGAGGCCAGAACTGGGGCTAATAAAGGCCGAGGCAGCCACCACCCAGGGGCCTGCGCTGGCTTCCTCCGAGCAGGCAGGGTCTCAGCACGCTGAGTCTGACCTCTCGTCTCATGTACAAGACTTGATTCTGCATTTCCCCTTTGACTGGGGCGGGGAGTGAACTTGAGCTCGAGAAGCCAGGGACATACATCCGGGTGATGATATGTTGTGGCTCGTGTCTGAGGTCCTGGGTATAGCAGCCACGGCCTCATGGAATTGCGTAGACACCAGATATTCTGAAATAGATTGATGGGGCAGCTGTCCATTCAGCAAGCGTTTCCTGAGCGCCCTAGATGTCCCGGGCCGGGCACAGTGGGACATAGTGATGAACCTGACAGCCATGTCAGGGTTGATTTTAATTGGAAAACTAATAACGAAACAAGCAGCTATTCCTGATGGTCATTCTCACTCACGGATCAGACAGGTGCACGTCCGGCCTTCCTAGGGATGTGCCCGAGCAGATTGTCCCAGGCTTGTGCTGTGCCCAGGATGCTTGTGTCCAGCGGGTGCTTGTGTGTCCCGAGACCCTGGAGTGGGGACGAGGGCATGACTGTGTGGACGGTGTTGATGTGTCATTGCCATCAGCTGCTCACTGGGTGTTGATCTCGTTACCTGGCTGTTTTATTTCCACTCACAGTCTCAGAAGCAGAACATGGACATTAACAGACAAGCTAAATTTGCTGCCACCCCTTCCCTGGCCCTGTTTGTCAACCTCAAGAATGTGGTTTGTAAAATAGGAGAAGATGCCGAAGTCCTCATGTCCCTGTACGACCCTGTGGAGTCCAAGTTCATCAGGTCAGTGCCCTGGCCTGCTGCCCCTTCCTCTTTGCTCGGTGGCCCACCCCGAAGTCTTCCTGGCAGGGCCCACAGAGTCAGCAGTGGGGCAGCCTCCCCCAAGCAGCCGGACCCCTGCTCCTTCTGGATGCGAGGGCGGCTGTCCTGCGGGCTCGTGGGTGCTTGGATGCAGAGCTACCATCCTGCAGATTCTAAGGGTCTACCCCGTGAGGATCAACGCCCCGCTTTGCCTTGTTGCACGTTTGTTCTCTGTAACCCCATTTGTCAACCTTTGAGTGACCGTATTGCTCCGGGATGGCTGGCTGGATTCTAGTGTCTAGACAGGGCTGCTGGGTCAGGTCTCCAGTATTTGTTGAATAGAATGTTGCACCCCCTTCCCCAGCTCCTGTCATCTCTGGGGTCGTCCCTTTCTGTCTTCTTGATGTTGGTCCCTTGTAACCTTGTCTTTGCCCAGATGGAAAATGACGGGTCAGACAGCATGGTGTGTGTTTAAACCTTCAGTTTCTTCCCTTGTATTATTCAAACCTTAAAAAATTAGTTTATGACAGAAAGCAGAACACGGGGTGGGCTTACGGTCACTCTGACAGTCCTCGGTGTCTCCCTGAGGGGCTCAGTCTGTGTTTCTGCCATGTGCGGTTGGTTGGCTCCGCAAGGTGTTTACGCTGTGGCTGAACCAGGAGCCTCACCCTGTGCTCATCCTGAATGAACAAATGCACTTTCAAGTGCAAACTTTGAGGGCCTCCCTGGTGACGCAGGCGTTAAAGTCGCAGCTCTATGAAGCTGTTGCCAGCCACGGTGACCTGAGTTCCATACCCAGCCAGGGAGCTACTGACATGGCACGGCAGACCTCTCCTGTCCCCCCACTGCTCCCCTCAGCAGTGGATTTCAGTAGATCTGCCTGTTCTGCTCCCCACTCTGTCTCTGGGGAATCCTCTCAATGCCCCCTACACCTCTGGTCTGTACCCCAGTTCTTGTATGCACAAAAAAAATTCTTTAAAAAAATGCCAACTTTGAAGGGCATTTGCTGTATTCATGGCAATTGGAATAACCTCGCGTCCACAGCAAGCCCCCCGAGTCTGTCTGGGTGGTCGGGAAGGGCTCCCTCACCTGTGCATGGGGGACCGCTGTCTGAGGTTGCTGGAGCCTGGGCCTATCCCTGTGTGCACCGTGCGCAGGGCCCCTTCAGAAAGTTGGCCTGTGCCCTCGCGTGCCTCTGTGTGTCCGGGCAGCTCACCCGCTGTTCCTCTTTCCTTCCCCAGTGAGAACTACCTGGTGCGCTGGTCGAGCTGCGGGCTGCCCAAGGACATAGACCGACTCCATCACCTGCGGGCTGTGTTCACTGTAAGTGCACCTGCAGGCCTTCTCTGAGCTGCCCCGTTCTCGTGAGGGGTCCGTGCCCCCTGCTGCCCGTCACTCAGGCACCGATTATCGGAGCCAGAGCAGACCCCTCTGGAGCTGGGGCGCTAGCTGGCTCAGAACCGCCCTGACAAAGACGGGCCCCCACTGGGCCTGGCTCTGAAACCTGCACCTTGAGCTCACTTAGCGCTCACTGGAGACTGTTCCTCGGCTCCCTTTAGCCACAGGAGCGGCTTATTCACATGCTGCAGGGTGGTCTCAGCCGCCTCATCCACCTCTCCCTGTCTGTTTCATTTGAACCTGCATTGAGTAATGGTTCTCCAAAATAATTTATGGAAATTAATATTTCTAGGACCTTGGAAGCAAAGACCTGAAGAGGGAGAAAATCAGTTTCGTCTGTCAGATCGTGAGGGTGGGCCGCATGGAGCTGAGGGACAACAACGCCCGGAAGCTGACCTCGGGCCTGCGGCGGCCCTTTGGCGTGGCTGGTAATCCATCTTTGCCCCCTCGGCCCGGGCCCCACGCTCTGCAGACAGGAGCTGCTGCAGGATGTTAGCACCCAGGGCTTTGATTTATCAGCCTTTCCATGGGAGAGAACAAAATATGTGTTGGCTCTTCGCTGAGTGACTACAGTCCACGCAGCTCAGGGGCCCCAGGGTGGAGTCTCAGAAGTCAGTCCTGTGTGGGTGCTGCAGGCAGATTCCCTGACCCATGTTCTCGGCCCGCAGGGAAGCTGATCACGAGAGGCCTGCAGGGCGTCTGTGCTCGGTGACGGATCTCGGGGCCTGTTGGCACAGAGGCAAAGTGGTGGGGAGGCAGGGCTCACGCCAAGCGGGGCACGCTCGGCCTAAGCAGGGCGCTTTTTCCTCCTGTGTGCTAGGCTGCTGGGGACAGCGTGAGAGGGAGAGACGTGTTGCCCCGGTAGAGAGAGGAGCGTGTCCCGGGCTGTTCTGAGCAGTTGGCCTCTTCGCCGCTTTACTCTCACCGTTTGGAAGCGTTTCCCTGTCCCTGCGCGGCGGCTGTGGGCTTGCGTTGCTCGACCTTCTCTTCATCCTTGTCCTTGTCTTGATTCTTGGGTTGTGTCAGCATGTGCGCGTAGGGGGGTCTCGATTCCTGAAGTGTAGCTGGGTTTCTTGTATGACGACCAGGGGAGACATTCATCGCCTCTGGAAGATCAAGGGCAGACCAGACTGTCCTTGTTTATCTTTTCAGTTTGCTTATTGCCTGCTTGGCTTTTATCTGTCTCTTTAGTCTCAGTTTTTTACCAACATCATTTTTCAGGGTGTGCTGTAGCCAAACGCCTAGTGACTGCCCGTAGCACTTTGTCTTTTTAAAACGCTTAACATTGCCATGTGAACGTTTTACTTACTATTTAAAAATCACGGCCGTCGCGGCGGTGTCTGCACCGCGCGCTGTTTCAGCCTCTTGGTCCTTGGGCTGTGGGTGTCTCCAGAGTGCGGATCTTTGGGCCCTTCTGGCTGCTGGGAGGGTGGCGCCGTGGACGTGGCCTGTGGCGAGGCGGGGCCTGCCGGCTGCCCGCCTCTGTGCTGCTAGTGCAGTTGCCTTCCTGCTTGCCTGGCCTTGCCCCTCCCCCTGTCGTTGCGGTGACCGTGACGTCCCTTCCGCTGTACCCCTCGCCTCCCAGTGCTCCGTGCTGTCTCCTGTCAGCTGCACCCTTCACGCCCCGTCCCACCACCACCAGGCAGCCAACAGCACGTCTTGCCTTTTTAAGGCCAGGCCTCATACCTGAATCACGTAGAGACCCTGGGCGGTCAGTTTGGGGTGAGTCCCTCCTCCAAACCCCAACCTTCACTTTCTCCTTTGGTGACAGATTTTTTGTAAGAATCAGATTCTCAGCCACAGAACTTCCTGGCCCGGGACTGTGGGCCAAGACCCCTGAGGTGTCTCCAAGGCCCGGTGGCTGCTGAGCCTTCTTTCTCTGAGGCTTGGGCCACTTCCCAGGAGCTGCAGGGCCCAGCTGCTCAATGCAGTGGCTGCATTTTTGCTCACTTGCTGCATCTTACACGTAGTTGCTGAGCTCCTGGTGTGCTCTAGGCCCACAGGCTGGGTTTGGCCGGGGTGTCAGGCCATCAGGGACCCTCTGAATCAGGCCCATGACAGGTCAGAGGGCTGTAGACACTCAAAAAGGTCCCACTAGGGACTGGCTCTGGGGAGGGTCCCCCAGGGTTAGAAGAACCTTGCTGTGGTCCACGCCAGTGCATGGGCCGCTGCTGCAGAACTGAGGACTGGACTTGGGTATAAAATCAGCTGAGTCCTTCATTCTAACTGGTGGTAAAAAGCTGGTTTCGGCACATGAGCACCTTCATGGTGATGGGTGCTATGATCTGGTGCCGGCCAGGCTGGAGGCTGGAGGCTGGAGGCTGGAGGCGCCTCCTTGAGTCCAGACAAGCCATCTCCCGAGCAACCACCGATGTGTCCACATGGTTTGCGCTTCTCGACCTTTGCCTCTAAACACATTCCTGGCTTTGCTCTGTGGGTAGCTCTGCTCCTGGATGGTGTGGGGTTGTTCCTTCCGGACCCACTGCGTCAGGCCCACCATGCGCTGGAGAGGCTGCTGTTCTGGTGCTATAATCCCATCCCCTTTTCTTTGGGGAGAAGTAGGAGAAGCACAAGCTTCCCATATTTTCAGCAGGGGATTCTCATCACTAGGGAAGGGCTACAGGTGAGAAAAGGAGCCACACATGTCGCTCACTCTCCTTTAGCTGCGCGTGAGGTCCAGCAGGGGCCTCAGGTCCTTCTCTGGCCTGGGCTGCTGGTGCGTGGCCAGCCAAGCCGGTCAGCACCACGGACAGTGCACGTCCTTTCTGGCCCCAGGATGACTGAGGCCCCCGGCGTGCAGCCAGGTGGGGTCTTCTTAACACAGGTGCACCGCGAGCACGTCGGCCTCCCCTGTGCTGGTGGCCTGGACCACCGGGGGCATCTAGGAAGGTGGTTCAATAGAACGGCAAGAGCTCAGGCACCGGGTCTTGCCAACTTTCTGACATGGGCACGGCCGCTCGTCCCTGCTCTGACAGCCTCCCCCAGGGGACCCTGAGGTGGTTGTGAGGTTCGGCTGTCAGGTGTCCCTGAGACAGCGTCCACAGAGGCCAGCCCATGCGTCATGGCTACCTCCTAACTGCGCTATTATGAGGGAGTGCGGGGGACAGAGGCAAGGCTCAGACTGCCCCATTCAACGGGGCGGCCTCTTGCCACCGGTGACAGTTCACATGGCAGCGAATGAATCCAAGCCGGCGCTCCGTTCCTCCGCCCCACCCGCCCGCCTTAGGTGTTCGCTGCTAGAGGACGCGCCCCGTGGAGCTCCGCGGTGTGGCTGATATAAGGGAAACGTGTGTTACATGGTTTTGCCCCTTGGGGACCCTCCCCTTAGGGCCAGCGCTTTCAGGGAATTTAATGTGTCGTACACACGTGGAAATACTTAGAACTTGAATTTAAGAAAGTCCCACCGTCGAGTTTGTGCTGTTGTTGGTCAGAAGACACTGATTTCCCTTTATTTTTTGTGATGATAACACTCAAGCCAAAACAACCTCTGTTCTTTTCTTGTCCCCAGTGATGGATGTAACAGATATAATAAATGGAAAAGTAGACGATGAAGATAAACAGCATTTCATTCCCTTTCAGCCGTAAGTATGGAGCACAATACTTGAGCAGATATAATATGGAAAATGTATATTTGTAATAATTATCTCCATAATTAAGTTGATAAACTCAGCACAAATAGGAATTGATGATTTTGCTCCGGTGCGTGGCATTTTTGTCGCCTCCAGAATCCCGGGTTAAGGTTTATTTATGGTCTTGAAGTGGAAGATTTTACACGTGACGGCTCAGGACACACAGAATTACAATTCTACCCTGAGCGTATTTCTTCACATAATTGATTTGTTCGAAGACCAGCTCACCTTTTCGGAGTACAGCACTCTCAAATTCATCCCGGGAGGTTGCTGTTCGCAAAGTAGAAAACCCAATAAAATAGTGACAAATTCTTTTGTAAAGCGAGAAATAAGACTGGGAGGCAGGTCGCGGGCGGCTGAGTTTCTGCCCGGCTGTTGCTTGGAGTGAACGTGCCCGGGCCCGCCCGTGTGGGCTCCATTCAGTTCGGACCCCGCGCTGTCGAGAGGTGGGGCAGCTTGAGAGGCACTTGGAGGAGATTCATTAGATTGATTCTCTGATTGGAAGGTCGATTCCGTGGAAGAGGCTGGCAGAATTGGTGTTATTCCCCTGGAGATTAAAGCAGGCGTGAACCTGGTTAATGGCCTGTGTCCACTTCAAGGGCACTGGGCCCCTCAGACAGAGGTGGAGAGCCAGGAAGAGGGAGGGGAATGGTTTCGGCTAATGGAGAGTGACAGCTGCCTCCCGGGCGTGTGAAGTCCTAGCAGAAGAGCGAGTCACGAGGAGGCTGGGATCGTCTGCGTGCGGCCCTACACGCTGGCTTTTCTTGTTCCTGTTTTTTCATATCTGGTTTCGAGCTTGGAACAAATTTCATCTTAGAAATTTTAGATTTAGGTGTTGGCCCAGGGGGCTTGGAGGCTGGTGACACTCAGTGGGGACTGGAGGGTGAGCACAGGCAATGGATGGGAGGCCCCCTGCCTTGCCACCACCCAGCCCAGCTTTCAGACACGGCCCGGAGTGGTTTTCTCTGCAGGCAGGTGGCTGGTCAGAGAGCGCCCTGAAGCGTAGCCCGCGAGCAGGTGTCGAATCTCTCCGACACACGAGCACCAGGAAGCCCCGAGCGTCCAGGTGTGTGTCTGCTGCATCATGGGAGGCCGAGACCTCAGTGGTTTGGATGCTTTAGATTTACGTGTCTGTTGCATACGGTCACCCCAGGTGGCTATTTAAATGAACGGAAATTAAATCAAATGAAATATTTCATTTTCAATCACAGCCCCATTTAGAGTGTGGTTACCCCAGGTGGCTGGCGGCCGCCACGTTGGGCAGTGCAGCTGGAGAGCCTGTCCATCACCAGTGCTCTCTTGTCCTCACTGCAGCATGCGAGGGACAGGGAGCGCAGGTTACGGCATCTGCAAGCTTCCTCAGTAAACAGGGGGCCCCTCAGCATTGAACATGGGCAGGTATTGGGGTAATAAAGAAAATGCATTCTCATTTTACAAAATGATAATATGAAATTGCCTCTTTAGCACTGAGAAATAAGGCGCCAGTGCTGTTTGCATGCTGTGATGTATGAGACCTCAGTATTTCTTGATGCCCACATGTATTTCTGAGGTGAGATGACCTCTTGCCTGCTAATGTCTGCAGGGGGTTATCTTTTGAAAAGTGAGGAGAATTCAGGTTTGCTAGTTTCAGGTTTGCTGATCTGAATTCCCCTGGGACGCATCAGGCATTACGGGGGCAGCCGTCTTGATTTGCTCTTTGGGGGAAATGTTCACTTTAAAAAGTACTGTTCCAGGCGCAACTCCACTGTGACTGTGGCTCCTCGTTCCACTAAAGGAAGATAGATATGCAGATTAATATTTGTGGTATTAGAAACAAAGATCTGCATGATTTTAATAGCAAAATAAGCTCTGATACCAGTTGTTTGGGAAATGTCATGCTAATGAAACTGTTTTTCGCTCCATTAAAACTGATTTATTTGATGGCAGGAGAAGTTTTAGGGAAGGAAGCACAGTGCACATTTCTCTCTATGTCCCTTTTAACTTGGCGAGGCAAATTGAAGCAGTCCTCAGCTCTCATGAGTCACGTGGGCTCGCGTGATGAATAACACTGCCCTTTTTTCCCCCAGAAATTATTTGAAAACCTATATATACATGACTTACATTCTTGCTCCTTTCGTATTCTATATTTTTGTTTCTATGAATGTCTATTTACACGAACTTGCACATAGTCTCTGCACATGTTGCCTGTTATTTATTTCCTGGATGCGAGTACAGCTTCTATTAAAAGCTCTGATCCATGGGCTTCCCAAACATGGGTGGTTTGCATTTGCAATTGCTGTTGTGTTCTCCAAAGACTAAGCTTTTCGTTTCATATTTTGAAGCAGCATAGGCTGAGCGTATAGTCTGACGGTGTGGAGCGATTCCCCCAGCTCCCACGCACCTCGTTTAGAGGGATCTCTCTTTTGTTTTGTCATGATTTTGCCTTCCCCTTCAAATCACCTGCCCCCTGACCGAGGCTGTGGGCAGGAATTTCTGAAGTTGAAGAAATGGCCAAAACATCCCTTGGGATTAAATGCTGTCCATTTATGTGATTTTCAGATAAGTGCCCTGGTTCATTATTGTCTGGTAGAATCAGAGCGGGACCCTAATGAATATTTATTTCCTGGGGATGGGGTTGGCCTCATTTTATTTCTCTTGTGTGGTTCAGCATTTTCCTGATCAATGCTCTTCCCTGTCTCTCTTGTCACCTATCCTGTCCTTTGTCGTGCGTTGACTCGATGACACTCTCGCACTCGGTGACGATGATCTCTTGTGTTCCCTTGTTACCGTGACCTCTGGGTCTCTGCCCCCTTGTCTCCTGTGGTCTTGGTCGTCCCGTGCCCTCCAGGCTCGCGTTGGACGACGCCATTCGACACAAGCCGCTGAACATGTCATCCCGTTTTTCACCCAGGGTGGCAGGGGAGAATGACTTCCTTCAAACTGTTATAAACAAAGTCATTGCTGCCAAAGAAGTCAACCACAAGGGCCAGGGTATGTATTCTGTTATTTTGTTTGTTTCTATAACTGTCTATTTACGTGAACTTGAGTCATGTGGTATGGTGTGCACGATAGTTTGATGGTCATGATGGTGATCATGATAATGGTGGTGATGATGATGGTGGTGATGATCATGGTGATGCTGGTGATGATGGTGGTGGTGATGATAATGGTGGTGGTGATGGTGGTGGTGATGAGGATGATGGTGATAATGATGGTGGTGGTGATGATAATGGTGGTGGTGATGATGGTGGTGATGGTGGTGGTGGTGATGATGATGGTGGTGATGGTGGTGGTGGTGATGATGATGGTGGTGGTGATGGTGGTGGTGGTGATGATGGTGGTGATGAGGATGATGGTGATGATGGTGGTGGTGATGATAATGGTGGTGGTGATGATGATGGTGGTGATGAGGATGATGGTGATAATGATGGTGGTGGTGATGATAATGGTGATGCTTGTGATGATGGTGGTGGTGATGATAATGGTGGTGGTGATGATGATAATGGTGGTGGTGATGATGATGGTGGTGATGATGGTGGTGGTGATGATAATGGTGGTGGTGATGATGATGGTGGTGATGAGGATGATGGTGATAATGATGGTGGTGGTGATGATAATGGTGATGCTTGTGATGATGGTGGTGGTGATGATAATGGTGGTGGTGATGATGATAATGGTGGTGGTGATGATGATGGTGGTGATGATGGTGGTGGCAATGATAGTGGTGTTGACAATGGTGGTGGGGGTGATAAGGTGATGATGATGATTGTGTTGATAACAGTGATGGTTGGTGGGCATGATAGTGGTGATGGTGACAATGGTGGTGGTAATGAAGGGGATGATACTGATGAAGATGGTGACGATAGTGATGATGATGGTGATGGTGATGGTGGTGATGATATGGTGTATAATGCTGGATTACAGCATGTTCTTCCCTGACGCAGTATCTGAGAATTTTCTTGCTAATCACCTTTCTAAGTACTGCTGAGAGCTAACCTGGGAGAGAGGGGGAGACTGAGTGGGATACAATTAAATGTTTGGGAAGAGGCCAGAGTTGATGAGACAGGAAACAACTCATTCATTTGCCCTTTTTCATCCTAGCTATTTTTGAAAGCATTTTGAAGACTTCATAAGTGAAGTCAGTAACTGTCCACCGTTCTTTCATCCCCCTGCTTAGAGGAACATGGAGCTGTGGGCTGTACCCCTCCTTTGCAAGTGCCCTTCTCTGTTTATCCTGTGTGAGTCTTACACTAATCACAGCGGCATGCTTTGCTGCCCCGCTCCCCGTCACCTGGAAAGGGCTCCATTTTGCAGACTGATTCCCCTTTGCTTTGCAATAGAAGGGATTTCTCCTCCCCTGCTCCCTCTTGCACTCCTCATTTTTAATCCCACTATGACAAGTTTCCGAGCCGCTGACCTTCTGTTGGCAGAGGCCGTGAATCAATCACCCAGGCTGCTGACAGTTGGCACCCGGGCTGGCCGGGAGGGCTGCCAGAAAACAACAGTTTTCTGAGGCCTGCCTGCGGGCTGAGGGTAGGTCACCTTCAGAAGGTCCACCTGAGGCTGCTTTTAGCCCCGAGGTACAGCCACGCCTCAGTCTGTGACTGGATGCAGACTCATGGTAAATGGCGGGCCTGGGGGAGCACCCTGCGTCTTCGCCTGGTTGCCCTCCGCCCCTGGGCTTTTCGGAAGCCGTTCTCATGATTCGTGTCCCATTGTTCTAAAGGCTGAGTATGAGTTGAGTCTTAAGAATGTTCTGGAGGAATGAGGAACCTTTGGATTTCTTTTGGTGTGAACAACAACCCCCCTCTTTGGAAAAAGCAAAACAAAATCCCCAGCCCCATGTTGATGAAATGTGGCTTCTGTCGATGGAGCGATTTTAAGCTGCTCCAGGAGCATCTTCTCATAAACTAACGTGTCAACCTGCACTTTTGCTGAAAGGCCTGGGGAAGGCCCATGAAAGTGGTTTCGGTTGGAGGCAGACTCAGTTTGGGCACTCGATCCCGGGCCCCACCCCACTGCCTTGGGTTTCATCTCTTACTATCATCAAAGCTTTGCTAGACTCATGACAGACTCACTTAGGAGAGGCAGGATCGGGGCTAGGCCCTCAGGAACTGGGGCAGAGGACCCACCTGCTCTGCCAGGGGGACAGGTACTGTGGCCCACTCTGGGACGCCAAGGCCCGGGGGCTGATATTTGGGGTCCCAGTTCTCTGAGGCCACATGAGAAAGCGCATAGAGACCAGAACATTGACAGCACTTTCAAGGGGACCGCAGATGCCCGCTGAACTGAACTGAACCCCTCAGGCTTACCTTGCAATGCAAGGGCCGTTCTCACCCAAGGGTGCGTGTCCCTGAGCCCAGATCATGGAGCTCAGAGTGAGCTGTAGGTGTGGGGGGCTTCGCCTGGCAGAACCCACCACATTCAATGACCAGGCTCACCCAACACCCCAACCCCCCAGAGGCAGAGGGAGGGAGGAGGTGGCAAGGGCATAGGAGAGTCAAGCCAGGGAGTTTCCCATGCTCCTGCTTGGCACCCGCTCCTGCCTCTGCTGAGATCTCTCTGCGCTCTGGCCTCTTTCTGGCTTGTTCCATGTCTGCCCATCACAGGTGTCAGCCTCTTTCACAGTCAGCCCTGGGAGCCTGCCCCCTGCACCCAGAGGTGCCGGCGTCTTGTGTGATGGTGGCTCCTCGCGCACCCTCAGGCTGGCGCCCGCTCTTCGTGGGGTGACGTGCGCTCATTCCTCTTGCGTTCTGTTATTCTAGTGAAGCCAAAGTCAGCCTCAAAAGCACTTTTTCTTTGGAAGTTGGCCCCATTTTCTTTGGTGGAGGAAAGTGTTTAGAACCCAGCCTCCTCAGGAGGATGTTGTCTTTCGGCTTCAAAGGTGTGGGAGCAAATTGACTTGTGCCGCTGAGTTACTCAGTGATGGATTCAGATCGCCGGGGAGCTGGTCCTGAACGGCAGGACCCCGAGCGGTGCTAGGGACAGAGGTTCCATCGTCACTTCTTTACCTCTGACTCCTGTAAACGCTGGTCTCATCCCATCACCCCGCACTCCGGAAGGGGCTTGAGTTGGAGTGACTCGGTGGGGCTCGCTCTGAGATCTGAGAAACCCTCATCCTGCTGTCCCCGCTTGGGACCAAGCCCACGTCGACTGCACTGTCACTGCCGGAGGACAGAGCCAGGAGCGGGGCGCGCTCCCTCGAGGGGGCAGTCCGCTTGGCTGTCCCGTTGGCCTGACCTGCTGCCGGGTCTTGTGTGATTCAGGAAAGGGAACCCCCCCTCTGGGCAGGCGGGCGGTGCGGGAGGCCCAGGGCCCTCGGCGCAGCGTGGGCTGGCCTGGTGTCCCCCCAGCAACCTCCTCTGCTGTGATCCTTGTTGGGAGATGGTAAAACAATGACCTCCTCAGTGCACCCCCAGAAACACGCTCCCTCCTGATTTGTCTGATGCGCAGCACCCCAAGGAGTCGTGCTGTGGCGGCTGGCCCTGTGGCTGTGCCGGCCCCTCCTGAGGCGAGGCCCAGCTAGTTGGACGCCGGGCACCGTCCCCTGGCCCCTCACTGCTTTCTCCTACACCCTCATTGAGACGTGAATTAAAGGCGCCTCATTCAGTGGAGCTGGTCTTGTGAAGCCTTCGGCGGCCAGGGCGACCGTGGCTCATGCACCCTTGTTTTTCTAGGTTTGTGGGTTACACTGAAACTGCTTCCAGGAGATACTCGTCAGATAAGGAAAGAGTTTCCTCACCTAGTGGACAGGACCACGGCCGTGGCTCGGAAAACGGGGTTCCCGGAGATCATCATGCCTGGTAAGAGCCGATGCCTTTGGTGTCCTGGGCTTGGCCAGCGCTGCGGGCTCTGGGGGCTTGTGTCGCTGTCACAGACAGTGTGTGTGCCCGGCCCGGAGCAGCCCTGGCCCGGAGAGCCGAGCACGTGGCCACGTGGCGCCCGGAGCCCCCCTGGGCCCCTCCTGAGTCAGGAGCAGGGCCAGAGAGAGCGGGCGGGCCCTGGCGGGCGGACGGGGGAGGGCGGGCTCCATCCCCGTGGGGTGCGGCTCCTGGCACACAGAACAGGACAGGAGGGTCAGGCCAGCCTGAGAACCCGTGTGTGCCCTCGGCAGCGGGGCAGACGTCCTTGTCGTCATGGCCCCTCACTCCTCTGTCCCGCGGTCCTTGGTGCCTGTAACCAGGGTGCTCTGTGATTCACCCTCTGCCCCAGGGACAGTGGGCGCTGCGCCCCGCATGCCCCCTGCTGTGGGCTGAGGGCTGCGCGGGGGCTTCTTGGTCACTGGTGCAGTCAAGGGGCAGCTTAGCGTCTGCTAAGGGGCTGGTCGCCGCAGGGCTGGGCGGTGCCTTGACACACTAACTTATAACTTAGGCTCCCAGCGATGCCCACCCCTGCAGGCCCTGGGACAGCGGGCGGGTGTCCAGCGTGAGTTCAGAGGCGAGGGCCACTGTTCAGGTGGACACCGAGCCACCTGATGGCCCCGTCCTTGGGCCCAGACGTGAGGTCACCTCGCTGCTGCCCCTCTGGTCTTGGGCACGCTCCCTGGAGAGGCAAAGAAGGGTATTTCCTTCCATCTGGGGGCTGGAGTCAGGAAGCTGTGGGGTATAACAGAAAACTGAAGCCAGCTCAGACAGCTGGCGCCCCCAGGACTCTTGTGGGCCCAGCGGAGGGAGGCCTGGAGCCAGCAAGGTCCCAGGAGCACTGGTGCCTTGTCCTTGGACATACCCTGCTGGCCCCCATCTTCCTAAACCCCGTCTTGCTGAAGCAGAGGCTGCTTTCACCCCGGGCTTCCACACTGGAGGCTGAGAGTCCTGTGACAGCTGCTGGGGTCCCCGGGACCCGCCAGCACTGGGCGGCGGCTCCCCCACCCTGTCTGCGAGGTTGTGCAGCCAGCCCCTCTGGGGTGACAGCTCACCTAAAGATGGAAGGGGGGGCTGAACGCAACGGGCCAACAAGTGGGGTGACTGGAGGGTCCCTCAGTGGTGCCGTGAGTGCTCACACGTGGCACCTGCTCAGGTGTGACAGTGGTTCTTCTCATCCCTCAGTCCACTGTGGATTTTCAACTTAGTGAACACACACCGGACTCCACGGTAAGAGTAATCTGTTATGTTTCCAGAAGACTTTTCACTTCCAAATAATGGTTTGTTTTTTTTTTTTTTTAATTTTTTATTTTATTTATACAAGAACCGGGGTACAGTCAGAAGCGGGGGAGGGTGAGAGAATTCACCAGAGCCAGAGCGGGGAATAGAACAGGCAGACTGATGAAACACGCTGCTGAGGCGAGCAGCAGGAAATAATGTTTGTATTAATCATCTGATTGGATCCTCCAGAGGCCGTGGGGGCACGTCACTGTTCGTCCTCATATCTGAGGGGCGGGGCTTGCAGGTAGCGCTCCCGTCAGTGACCTGCTCCATCCATGCAAGGATTCCGGGAGCCTTTGCACCGAACATGTTCCCACCAAGGTGAACCGCCACCTGGAGCTGCCTGGCTCATGAGCAGGGAGATGGGGCCGGGCCCCCACATCCACAGCCCCCCTGGTCTCCTTCCTTGGGGCTCTCCGTACCTGCGGAGAGCAGGGTCTGCCCGTGCACAGGAGAGTTATGCCTCATTTGTGGAGGGCCGTCGGGAGCACACCCCTTCCTGTGTCTGTGGGGCTGCAGGCTGCTGTGGCAAACCCCACACCTGGGTAGATGAGCCCTGTGGCTTACCTGAGCAGGAGGCAGGTGTGACCCTCAGCCTGGCGTGAAACTGCCTGGGCCCCGGCAGTGTGTGCAGGTCCATGTGGACTTGGAGAGCGTGTGTTTCGGTGCTTGCGCTTGACAGGCAGCTGCCATCAGGGTGAAGACACGGCACTTCTCACGTCCTCAGCACGTGCTCGCGTCCCAAGGGAGACCCAGAACTTCCAGTTCACAGTGGTTCTGCTTCCCTTACAGTTGGGGGCTTAAGTGAGTCTGCACCTCCAAACTCCTCCTGAGAGGCTCCTGGGGATACCCCCCGGCTGTTGTCCTGGCAGGTTCCACGTGTGGCTCTCAAGTTCCAGCTCCCCGGAGGGGCGCAGTCTGGGTCGAGCTGTCACCCTGAACTTTGTCCTAGGGGAGGAGGTGGTGGGGGCCTCCCTCAGACCCCTGCCTTCTGCTGAGCTGCCTGCATGTCCTGTCGGCCGGTCGACTCGCCTGGGGGCATCTCCAGCGACAGTGGGGAGCCTGCACCCTGCCTGGGCTCTTCTCCCTCTCGTTGCCCACTGGGGGGCCCTGGTGGGAAGCAGGGGTGCTCTCCGAGTCCCCTCCTATGCCAGACCCTTCCTCCCCGGCACGTGGGCCTCTGGCATCCCCACCGGTGGGTCGGCCTGCTCAGAACCTGTCTCCCTCGGGCTGGTCCTGGCACGGGGGTGTCCCGCAGCCACCGCGAGCGAGGCTCTCGGGCGAGGGGCGCGTATTGTTGACGAGGCTTCTGTGCGCTGATGCAACTTCCAGGCGGCGGCTGCTCGCAGTGGGTGGCGGGAGGGCGAGCGACTTGTGGGCCGCGCGGCTGGCCTGTGGCTGGGGGGCCTCTCCTCCTGCCCCTGCCTGGCCCCCCGTGGTCGGGGTCGCGATGCAGCTTTTGCCCCCAGCCGCACTGTGGTGCAGGCAGCGACCCACTGGGGTTATCATGATAATGGCTTTTAAATGGAATCTCAGTTTACTAGTTGGAGACATTAAAGGCCAGAATAAAATAATTAAGAAAAACAAGAGAAAAACAAGGAAGCAAGGGGATCGTTTATCTCTGGGGATCCTCGTCCTGTGGCCTGGGGGGCTGTGTGCTGCCCTTGTGGGACTGTCCCTCCTGTCCCCTGGCCTGGGGCTGCTCCCGGCCAGCGCTGAGGGTTCCCAGGCCACCCTGTGCGTGCTCTCAGCCGAGGAGCGCCCAGCTCGTGGGGTGTGTGTGTGGTGTGTGTGTGTGCGTGTGCATGTGGTGCACGAGTGTGTGTGTTTTCAGTTTCTGGCCCCTTCACTGGCCCCCACTCAGGGTCCTGCCCGCGGCCTGCCCTGTCAAGGGGAGAAGCTCCGTGGGGAAGTTTCATTCTGGAAAGTCCACTCCCTACTCCTGGGCCTCCGCACTCGCTGCGCCCAGCCTTCCCTTCACCCTTCAGAGGGACGCCGAGGGCCCGTCGCCAGTGGTCGTCCTGGGCGTTGTCATGTTCTTTGGCTGCTGAGCCTCGGGTGACCGCGTCCCTGGCCTAAGGCAGGCATGACGGGGTTGTCGGGCCTGGGTCGCTCCGGAAGGAGGGACCTCACATCTGAAGCTTGAGCCCCTTGAGCCTGGCTACTGCACAGGTGTGGAGGCTCCAGGTGAGGCGCCCAGAGGTCGTGGGGGCCTGGACATGTCCCTCCTTCCCACGAGCCTTATGAGGTGACCGCGGCTGTGTCTTGCTTTTAACAGGTGAAACTCTTGCAGAAAATGCCTCACAGCCACCTGTACAGCATGTGTAACTCTGCTAGCCAGAGACAGCTGTGCAGAATTCACGGCTAAGCTATGGGGAATGGATTGGTTTTAAAGGTATAATTTTTCCCCCAGGTGATGTTCGAAATGACATCTACGTAACGTTGGTCCAAGGAGATTTTGATAAAGGAAGCAAGACAACGGCCAAGAACGTCGAGGTCACGGTGTCTGTGTATGACGAGGATGGGAAGCGGCTGGAGGTATTTCTTGCGCCAAGTTTTTCCCTCAATGTGTCACCTGGACTTTGCCACGTACATGGGGCTGCGAGGCTCCTCCTTCCCTCTGCCTGAGAGGTCCTGGTGTCCTGGCAGCCGCTGTCCCAGGGGACCCCCGAGGTCCTGACCATCGTCCTCGGTCAGTCCTGTCACTGCGCCTCACTGGCGAGTGTGAGCCCTGGACCCGGGTCCAGCCGTCACCCTGCGTGTCCAGATAACATTAGTGTCGCCACCTGAGGGCTGCTGAAGCCCAGGCAGGGCATGAGGGGGGCTGGGGCTGGAGCTCGGTGCTGCTCCCTGGCTCTTCCTGGCAATCTCCTGCCAGGCACAGAGGCCTGCAGGGGGTGCAAGGGACACACCGGCAGGCTGCGGCCTCCCGAGGACCGGCGGTCAAGGCAGCCAGCAGGTGTCCTGACCATCCCCTCTGGACCAAGGCTGGAGGGCTGCAGTCCCCTGGGCCCACGAGGCTGAGAGCGGGCCCCTGGGGGTGCTCCTGAGGCTCAGAGCGGCCGGTGAGGCCGGCCAGGCTTCTGCGGGAGGGGGGCAGGCCGCCCTTGCTGCTGGGTCTATGTGGGGTCAGCTGGTCGGTGTTGACGGTAGAGGAACAGGTGGGAGTTGGGTGGCCTTCTCCTCGCCCATGTCCCCTTACTCTAGACTCGGGTGGGATCTCAGGTTAAAGTGATGGGGGTGTGTGGCGGGTGGGGGACAGCAGCCTCTCGCATCCACGTGGAGGCCCCTTGCTGGCCCTGGCTCAGGAGCCGGGCGCGGGTATGTTCTGGCGCCTGGGGGCCGGCATCCCGCCGCCTGTCCCTGCCCTCGCGGCCTGGTGGGGCGGAGGGGCTGCTGGCGCGCAGGCTCTGGGAGGGCTGATGTGAGCTCTTTATGCTTCTTTCAAAGCATGTGATTTTCCCGGGTGCTGGCGATGAAGCCATTTCGGAGTACAAGTCGGTGATTTACTACCAGGTCAAACAGCCACGCTGGTTTGAGACTGTTAAGGTATTTACACGGTCATTTCACCCCGTGGCCTGGGCTGGGGAACACACGCTTGTTTCCCAAGGAAACCCCCACCTCCTACCCGCCTGGCGCTTCTCGAAGGGCACCCAGCCCCCGAGCAGGCCCTCCACAAAGGCGTTCAAGGTTGCTAGGGAACCGGGCTGGCATTTCTTGGAAGACATTTACTCTCATCTCCTTTTGGACATAAAAACGGGACTTTCATGGAGACAAATGAGAGTCCTCCAGAGAGCGCCGCGGCCTCTCCCGGGGCTGCTGTTGCGTGTGCTGTCCGCAGACCGCTGGCGAACAGGGGGGCCAAGATACGGGACTCTCTGGGCACACCCTGCCCTGGCCCTGCCCTGTGTCTGACGCCTCGTGCCCACCTGCCGGAACCCACCCGGGAGGCGCCAGGGGCTGGGATTTGCCACCCAGGCCAGGGGGTGCTGGGAGCCCCGCGTGAGACGTGGGAATCTGGGGCTTCAGTCCGGGCTTCATGGCCCGTGTATTGGGTCTGGTTCTTGTACGTAGATCACAAGGAGGCTTTCTCCCCGCAGCCCGTGCAGGTCTCCACACGTGCAGAGGGACCGTAGAAACCCCTGCTGGGGCCAAACAGGAGAGGGGCAACTTTTACAACTAGAAGCGTAATGCGAGGGTCAGGAGCTCGGAGAGGAAGACATCTGTGTCGCAGGCCGGGCCCCGGCACGCACATGTGTCTTGGGACAACACTGTGGGACTTGGGGTTACCTGGAAAGGTGTTCAGTCTAAGGGCCCACGGTGAGGCCTCGCATGTGTGGGGTCCCAAGGCCTGCTCGTGTCCCCCGCAGGTGGCCATCCCCATCGAGGACGTCAACCGCAGCCACCTGCGCTTCACCTTCCGCCACCGATCCTCCCAGGACTGTGAGTAGTGCTCCCTGGCCGCCCTCGCTTTCGCTTCAAGGGCAGCAGGGAGGGACTGGCCGCACTCACGCGCTCCCTCTGCAAGCTTCTCTCAGGCTCCTGGGGAGAGCTGGGGTCCAGCCGGGCCTCCAGGAACACTCAGAAGGACACATGATCAGTGCAGCAGAGGTTTTGGGGAACCCCCTACTGTATAGAAGGCAGAGCCGGCGCCTTCATCTTGCTTGGTCTCCGCGACCCTGGCGTGGCCACGGGGACAGCGAGGCTCCAGCTGTGGGGCACACAGAGCCGTCGCCCTGTCCCCACCATCACGCTCCTGTGGCTCTGCCCGTGAGGGTGTCATGGGACCGCTAGGATGTGCTGAGTAGTTTGCACAGTCGACACCTCCCTGCTGAGCCCCCCCCCCCCCCGCCGCCATGGCCCGTCTCCCCTCCATCACACTGACCTTCTCGTCTGTCACGAGCTGCTTTGTTTTCCGTAAAGGCGGCCGCTGGAGCCCCTCTGGCGCTGCTGTGGGGTGGCCCCGGGACGGTGACCATCCGTGTCTGTTGCAGCGAAGGATAAATCGGAGAAGATTTTCGCGCTGGCGTTCGTCAAGCTGATGCGCTACGACGGGACCACGCTGAGGGACGGGGAGCATGACCTCATTGTCTATAAGGTATGCGCTGCATCCCTGCTGGCCGGACCTCCACGTCCCTCTGGCCGCCTGCGCTGGGCTGGCCTCCCGCTTGGTGCGGAAGCTGCAGTCCCGGGACACTTACTGACGGGGAGGGCGCACGTAGCCCACCCGGTGCCGTCTGACCACACTCTGCTGGCGTCAGTTCGCTCCCCGGGGAAGGACAGGTCCTTCGCGGAAACAGCTCACAGATGACCATCAGCGAATTTGGGGGTGGTGAGAGGATAACAGCCTGGGGGAGACGCGGGCGGCTGGTGGGGAATGCGCTGGACGCAGTGCCCGATTAAACCCGCAGGCCGAAGCCAAGAAGCTGGAGGACGCCTCCACGTACCTGAGCCTGCCCTCGACCAAGGCGGAGCTGGAGGAGAAGGGCCACTCGGCCACGGGCAAGGGCATGCAGAGCCTGGGCAGCTGCACCATCAGCAAGGACTCCTTCCAGATCTCCACCCTCGTGTGCTCCACCAAGCTGACCCAGAACGGTGAGTGCGTCCCCATGCACCCGGCAGCTTCTCTCCCGCAACCCCGACTTTCATGCTCCCCGTGCGTGGAGGAGGCCTCTCGGGGCAGGAGCACTGCCCACGCGGCACTCACAGCCCCCTCGCGCGTGCCGTGCCCTGGCGTCCATGCATGAAGAAGGGGGGCGGCCGTCCCCCTAACACGTCTATTATCATCCCATGTTGACATTAAATCAGTCAGTCAATGAATTTACTTCTCAAGAAGCTTTTTGGCCAAGGTTATTGGCACGAGGGGTAATGCATAAGATTTGGAGTCAGAGCAGAGGGTTGGGGTTGAGCCCTCGTACTGGGCTAACCCTGGGACTGACCTTGAACTAGGGGCTCTGACCTTGTCTGAGCCTCATGTCCCTTCTCTACCTCCAGGTGGAAGGCCTGCCTCAGGGTTTTACGAGGTTCCATGGACACCCTCTGTGTCTCCCCCTCTCTGAGCTACTCATTGAGATAATACCAGTTGTCTTTATTTTTGTAAGTGGGTTTTGACCACATTTTGCTGCCCTGGCGGCCAGCTAAGGCACCCCTTGGGGATTCATGCACGGCCTCCCATGGTGCCAGTGTCCGCACTGGGCCTGCCCAGCATCCGTTCCCACCGGCTGTGGGCTCCCAGCCACCTGCTCTCCAGCCAGGCTGCTTCTGATTCAGAGCACACGCTTGCAAGAGGCAGAGGCTCCCCTGCACAAATCCAGCACTCACACACTGCGCCCCCAAATGTGGCTGCGTCTCGGCCTTCCTTGCAGAGTGGCTCTGCTCTCCTTCGGAAGCTCCCTCCTGACAGCCCCGTGTGACGCTGATGTCCCACGTCTGCTGCTCTTGTGAATGGTGCTCCTGGGCTTGTCGTGACTCGGCACGTGGCAGGCAGCACAGCCTGGGCGTGGGGCGTTATCCGGTCCTGCCCCTGCTGGCTATAGCTGGGGACAGCGCCCTCAGATGTGGGGGCCTTTGGGCACTGCTCTGACCTTACCTTTGTCATCCCGGTGCCTGAGGCAGGGTGAGGTACCAGAGCTGCTGTCCTGCAGTAAACCCCATGAGACTTCCAGGACACACCTCCCTGCCTAGCCCCGCAGCACAGGACAGGAGCTTCCAGGTTTAGTGTCCAGGGGTTGGGGTCTGCCAGGTGGCTGCTGGTTTAGGATGGGGTCATGGAAAGTGTGTCCTCAGAGGTCCTTACTGGCCTGGTGGCTGCGCTGTCCAGGGTCCAAGATGGCAGGACTGGAGGGCGGCTGCTCCAGGTGAATCACCACCCCAGATGGGGGGTCCTCAGCTTTCCAGCAGGCTCCCCACAGTGCTGAGTACCTGCCCTGTCACTGCAGCGAGCCACTTACCCGTGGGTCACGTTGCAATGCTCAGCCAGCAGTTGTTACTTAGAACTTGAACGCATTTTCCCATCCAAACAAGGTTCTTCTGAAGAGCGGTTTGTTGTTGCCCGCCCACAGAATCCTTCCTGGCCACATACTGCCGGAGAGGGAACCGGGAAATCTCCAAGGGATTAAGTCACAGAAATCTCCCGGGGTGGGAGGTGTACCCCCTTCTGTCACCCCCAGCTCCAGGAGGCTCTGCAGCCACAGGGTAATCCCCTTCCTGGCAGGAGCAGAGAGCGCCCTGCTCCCAGCCATGGTTGCCTGGCGACCGGGACATTCCGAGGTGATGCTGTCACCAGGAGCAAAGGGGACCTCTTTGACTTTCATTTCGCAGCAGCCAGTGGTTCCTCTTTTGGGGTGATGGTGTGTCAGGTGTGTGCAAGATGGAGCTGCCCCCGCTGGCACCTGCCGCCGAGGCCCAGACTCTCATTTCAGGGAGTCATTTTTCTGAGAGCTTGATTTGTGGCCTCAAAGTCCCATTACTTAGGGAAAAGCGGCAGCTGAATTATTCATCGGGGTTTGTATTAAAGTCTCTGTTCTCAGCATTATGCTGGATGTTTGGGGGCACATAAAAAGACATATAAGATGGGATTCCTCTCCTCAATTAACTGACTCGGTGATGAGAGCGAGGTCGTGAAATGAATTATGATGGGGGAGCTGGAGGCCGGGGCCGGCAGGGCGGGGCGAGCTGGCGCTCTGTCCCCGCAACACCCGCGCCCACCCCTCCCCCGCCAGGGCGCTCACGCTGGATTTGCCCAGCGTGGCTTTTCTTCAGGTGCAATCCAGAGTAAACCTCTGCCTCCCTCGCGTCCGAAGGGGCTGTCCCCGCGCGTGAGTGGGGTCCAGGTTGTCTCTTAGACTCCGCTGGAGACGCTGCAGCTGGCGAGGTGGAGATCCCCCCCTCTGGGACGGAACGTGTGTCCTGGGGGGACGCGGCCTCTTTCCCGGGACTGAAGCTGCCGACTTCTGCACGGACGCCGATGTCTGTGCCTCCTGCCCCCTCCTTGTGGTCCTCCCTGGGGCTGGGCCCGCTGCTTGGAGCCCTCCCTGCGCGGCTGCTCCGGGGGCGCCGTCCCACCGCTCAGATGGGAAACTCAGGGCCACGGCGTGGCTGGTTCGGCTCCGGGCCGCTGTCTCCTCTGCATTCGCGTGGCTGATCCCCTGCCCCTGACTCCCGCGGCTGCGGCCGAGTAAGCGCCCGTACATGAGTTGTGGCGTCGTCTGCGTCCCTTTTGGTGGTTCGCGCCCTTACAGTCCAGTTGGGATCCTGGGCTCCCTGGATTCCACCTGTTGCCCAAATGACATTTTTCTTTTCAGTCTGCACCAGGGACGTCCTTAGGGCGACCATTCTAGCCCACATGTGTCCCCTCCAGGGTGCTGGGCGCGTGGCGGACTTTCGGGACCGGGTTGTAATGTGACTGCAGCTGAAGCTGCGGGGGGGTTTGGGGGACCCTCCGGCATGGCTGGGCTCACCTGCTGTCAACAGTCTCGCTGCCTTGACACCATTTCCCGACACAGCTCGTCGGTACAGACCACCGCGTCTGTCTGTGATTTTCCTGTTAGAAAACCATCAGGCCGGCGCTCAGCTGTCAGGAAGGAGGCCACTGGGCGGGTGGGGCCTGGAGCTGGGGCGGGGGGTCATCTCCGGGCCCAGGGTCCCTCCCGTGACGGCTGTCACTGGCGTTGTCAGTGCTGGAGTCTGCATCACTTATTTTATCATCAAAGAGAAATAGTCTTGCTCGTGAGCAGGAAACCCCCACCTGGCACAGGTGCCGGCTGTTGCAGTGAGCACCTGGCGCCCCTTGTCACCTGGAAGGCCGGTGCCTTGCTCTCAGGCTCCAAGTTCTCGCTTCAGGCGGCGACGTGGAAATTGTTCCATGGCGAATGCAGTTGGGAGGAAGGAGTTCAGCCTCCTGTGGCGCAAGTGCTGCCGGGAGTCGTGACACGCTGAGCTGGCGCCGCTTTCCCGGGCAGGCTGGTTTCTGCTGCGGGGTCTACCTGGAGTCCTCACGGGCGTGGCGAGGGCCGGCTGTGGGCCGCACACTGACGGCTTCTCTTCGCAGTGGACCTGCTGGGTCTCCTGAAGTGGCGCTCCAACACCAGCCTGCTGCAGCAGAACCTGAGGCAGCTGATGAAGGTGGATGGCGGCGAGGTGGTGAAGGTAACTGGCCGCGCTCTGCCGCCCTGCGGGTGTGGACAGTGGGGGCATCGCCTCCACGGAGGGTTGGGGCTGGGGGCGAAGCCTTTCATGGTGGGGAGAGTGAACCCCACCGCTGCCTGGAGGGTCTCTCTAGGGCTTTGGTCTGGGAGGGCGTGTGGCTTCCTGGCAGGATATGGGCCTGGGAATCAGCCCAGGCCAGGGTTCTGGTCCACCAGGACCTTGCTGGGGGTTTGGCAAAGCTCCCTGGTGCCTGGAGGCCTCACTCCTGCCGCCACGTGGACATGGTGTGCTGTGGGATGAGGGGACAGGTGATGCTGTGAGTGGCTTGTGGGGGCGCCGTGGACTCTCATCATTCCCAGAGTCCTTGCCTTGCTGTGGAGCCGGCTCCATACTCACCCAGAACTTCTGCAACAGACCTGCCAGGGTGTGGGCCGGAGCAGAGACACTCGCACCCCGTGTCCAGGCGGCCCTTCCCGCCTCTTCCCAGCCCCGCCCGGCCTCTCTCGGCCCTTCCTGGCTCTTCTTTCCCTGTCCTGGCCGTTCCCATTCTCTGAGGTCTTGGACCCATTTTTAGCCCCCGGCAGAGCAGCCTCTCCAGTCTTGACCCTCAGGGCTGGCTCGCACCTGCGCACCACACCTGGGCGTAGACACAGCCTGCAGATAAGTGCGTAGAAGTGAAAATAGGTCGGTGCTGCACAGCCCCTCGGGACTCCAGTCTAGCCCCTGCTCCGCTGGTGTGGGCGCTGCTGTTTTTTTCACCCCCGTCCTGCCCAGGTGACTTCCTTGTAGAGCGGGGACACCTGCTCACGGCAGGCGGCCCTTTGGCTGCCGCGATGCTCTGGTCTGTCGCCGTGGCCCTCGGAGGCCCGGGCCCCCAGGAGAGGTGCCACCCGAAGCCTCATCTCTGCACGACTTAATTACTCAAGTGGCCGTGATGAGACAGCAATGCGGGTGACGTCACTGGAAATTAACTTGCCTGCACCACCGTGCTGGACTCAGCACACGCGGTTCACACAGATCCAGCGAACCTTCCCCCGAATCGTCTCCCCGTCCCTCCCTGGCTTGGACTGTGTTCATTACATTTTAAACTCCCCGGTTCTCTGCATCCCCTGGTGCAGATGGAAACTGGGTGATCCATGAGCGTTGCTCTAGAATCGGCACAAGGAACAGAACCCCACCCTCCCTGCGCGCGCGCCCATGGTGCTGTGGGGCCCGCCTGTTTCCATGCGCTCCCGTCGGACCTATCAGGGCGAGTCCGGCCGTCCTGCCTTGGGACTCAGCTCCACCCCGTGACCTGTGTGGGGTCACAGCCTGTGGCTCTTTCCTGGAAATGGTTTCTCATCTCTCCCTGTCAGTGTAGACGGGGCAGCCCCTCCCGCCGTGTCTACTGCCTCTGCCTGCGCCGGGACTCCCTGGGGGCCCAGAGAGCCCAGCTCCTGTCTGGGCCAGTGGGCTGCGTCGGGCCAGAGCAGGCAGGTCCCAGGGTGCAGGCACAGCCGCGGGCGGGGGCTTCCTTCCGTCCAGCCGGCCCTGCCCACTCACGACTGCTGTGGAGAGACGGCGTTGCCGGGAAGTCCTTGCTTATCTGGTAAACCACGTTCAGGGGTGGCGCCCCATTATGGTGAAAAATGGATTTGGGAAGATGGACCAAGTGGTGATTTTCTCCTCCTGTAGATGATCTTAGGGAAGCCCTCCCGGCCTCGAACAGGCCCCCGCTCTAGGACGTGCCTGTGCCCCTGCAACCCCCGGGGGAAAGCCAGGCTCTGCTCCCGGCAGCCCCCAGCAGGTGACAGGGCTCCAGGGCCACATGCCATATTTCTGTGCTTCTGCCCTGTCCTCTGTGTCCTCAGTGGTGCTGCCAGGACAGCCGGTGCGCCTCCTGGCTGTGACACAGGCTGTGTGACCTTCGTGAGGGCATCACACTCTGAAAGTGGTGGGAAATGATGGGAAGCCAGCTCCAGGGCACACGCCTCTCCTCTCCCTGGGCCTCTGGGTGTGAACAGGGGCCTTTGTTACACTCAGCGGCAGCTGCTCCTGGCTTGGCTCCCAGCTCGGCTGCTAGACTCAGTGTGGCCTGGTCCGGCCTGTCTCCTGGCTGCCGTGCACCTTGTCCCGGCCTAATGAAGACCAGGACAAGGGCTGGAAAGTCCCATGGGGAGGGGCCCTAGGAACCCCCACTGCTGACCCCCCGGCTTGGCTTGGGGCACCGTGTTTTTGTGCTGAATTCTTGCATCTCAAGTGTTTGTCTCATGCGTTCAATGGCTGAGAACATCCCCCAAGCTGGTTGCTTCCTCGTTGACGATGGGGAAGGCGGGAAGTTGGGGTAATGCCAGAGATGGTGGGTCTTCAGGTTGGGGGAGCGAGGGCGGGTGCTGATGTCGCCTCCTGGCCTCGTGTCTCTGCAGTTCCTCCAGGACACACTGGACGCCCTCTTCAACATCATGATGGAGAACTCGGAGAGCGAGACTTTCGACACCTTGGTGTTTGATGCACTGGTGAGAGGTTTCGTTTTTATCTGCTCGGATGTTGGGGTGCCCTTTCATGCAACCTTGAAGGGGGTGGGGGCGTCGGGTGTCCTTGAAGCATTTGCAGTTATAAACCCATCCCAGCAGAGCCCTGGAGAGCCAGAAATTCTCTTCCTGCAATTCTGTAATGAGGCAAATGCAATCTCCAGGGCGAGAAGAGCTCACCTGCTTCCCCCCTATCTGAACAGGTGGTATATGTAGTTCATGGGCTCCCCTGTGCACGCTATTCCGTGAAGATTCCAGAAGGCTGGCATTGTTTTTGCTAAAGAAAATATCCATTGCTTTCGCAGGTGTTTATCATTGGCCTCATCGCTGATAGAAAGTTTCAGCATTTTAATCCCGTCCTGGAGACCTACATTAAGAAGCACTTTAGTGCAACCTTGGCCTACACGTGAGTTCTTTTTGGTTGTTTCCAAACCACTACTTATGTTTGCGTGTTTGTTATGAGTCTTTTTCACGTACTTCCGCCTGTGGCTGCATTTTGCCTTCCAAACTCTGCACTGACTGAAATCAATTTGGTTATAGTTTCCCTCTTCACGGACCTGGAAACCTCGCTGAGAGAGAGCTGAGATGCATTATTGCAATGTTCTGGGGTTCTCTCTCGCTCTCCTTGACACCTTCCATTTGTCTTTGAAATTTTCAGTCCACGTTTGAGGGGGCTGATATGGGGAGTCGCCACGCCATGGCCTCCCGGCGAGGCTCAGTGAGGGACGGGACAGATATGCGCTTGTTTCCAAATTACTGCTGGTTCAGTGAATAACATTCAGTTTTGTGTGTTTCATTATCTTTCGGCTCTGTAAAGCGGGCCTGCCTTTTGTTCCTCAAGCTCCAGCACTGACTCCCTTGGTCCTCACTGCCCTCCTGGCTCTGTGGCCTGGCCCCGCGTCCCCAGGTGGCCCCCACGGTGTCCGCTGCCTCCTTTGACTTCCAGATTGATTTTCTGGCTCCAGGTCATTCTCTTTGCATATCATGCCTTCTTTTTCTATTCTTTTCTGTTGGAAGAAATTCTGTGGAATGTGAGTTCTTTGGGATATCAAAGCGATGAAGAAGGAGAGCTGTTTTCCGATAAATTTGGGAAAGTAAGTTACACTAAGTTAAACAGGGTTTCTGCCAGGACGGTGGACGTTCTGCTGTGCTTTGGGAACCACTGGAGTGGAGACGTTTGCAGTCAAGCATAGGCCCTGGTGGAGGAGGGTCACCCTCGCCTGGCCTGGCACACACCCTCCAACAGTGCTCCCTGATGCTGTCAGGCTTCTTTGCTGGAGTTCCAGGAAACCCCCACTGCTGACCCCCCTGATTAGTGCTAAGAATGACTTCCCAACCGGTACCCATAAAGCTTTTATTGGGATTTAGCAGTAAAGTAGTTACTCTTAGGGCTGCCGCGAGGTCAACCCTAGAAGTGACTGTGGCTCTTAGGAGTGTCTGGTGATAAATAATCTCACTGGCCTATATGCTGGCCCACAGCCTCACTGGACACACCCCGCAGCTACTGCATGTCTCTGCGAGTATTCACCAGTCACAGGAAATCCTGGTGATTGTGTAAGAAGTTGGTGAACAGAGAAATTTGGGTGACTGGGGGTTCTTGTTGCTTGTGGTTTACAGATCTCGCGTCTGCTGTGGTTTCTGCAGAGCAGGGCACATGGAAGCAATCTGTGTTGAGTGAATCTGTGTTTTGTGCTTTGGGGGCATTGCTTGAAGGTCACCCTTAGGAACCATGAACAACAATTACTAGTTTAGGGGCTGCTAGCACTAGAAAGTGTAAGATGTTTGGGCAGAATTAAAATTTGATTATCACCATTCCTGCCTCTACCATTGGAAAATAACACATGAGTAAATCAAAACAAAACCCAGAAAATTGTGCATGATCAGAGAGAACATGGAAGAAAATTGAAGTTCCCTGCACACGGCCCTCCATACGGCCCTACATACTAGAGATGGCCACTGTTGGCAGGTAACCACTGCTAGCATGTCTCTGTATGGGCTTTGTATGCGCACTTTAATGTTGTTATTTCTGCTTATTTTAGAAAATGGAATCATGTTTGCACTTTTAAAATTGAAAAACACTTTTTCACTGTTATCGTTTATAGACAATAAAATGTTGACTTCGTGAGTTTGGACAGTTGTAGCACCCATGGCACCACTGCGCACAGCAAGACGTGGGTGTTGCCACTTCCCGGAAGGTTCCCTCTCACCCCTTCTGAGTCAGACCCATCAACACAGCAGCAGCGGCTGTCTGACTTCATGATCGCAGGTCTGTCCGGCCACTCTCGATAGCACGGTGTAAAGGCAGGAATAGGACACAGTGCAGGTTTTCTGATCCCATGTAGACCGGGTAAAGGAGGAGTCAGTCCTCAGTGGTTTTGCAGGTTTTTTATTGGGGTTCACCAGGCATATGGCAGGCAGGGGTGCTGGCTTGGGGGCTGGTAGGCCAGCAAGTCTTCACTCTATCTGAGCTCTCTGGAGTTCGTTCTGCTGCTTCTCGGCTTCTCTTTCGGCTACGGCTTCGGCTTCTACTGCTGCTGCTGGTGTCCCCGTGACGCCGCCCTTAAAAGCACAGTCTTAGTTCAGCTGAATCCCATCTACCTATGCCCACACCCTAGTCCAGGTGCCCGCCATCAGGCATGCATTCAGGACAAGGATCCATCATCTATCCTGATGGTGGAAGGGCAGAAAAGCCTGATATTTTCTTTACCCTACACACGGTGTCCTGAGTTTCTGTCCTTTCACGGGAGGCTTTTGAGATCAGTCACGGTGCTTTGTGCATCATTGTTTCATTGGCGCCTTGTAGGGTAGGTAAATGATATCAGGCTTTTCTGCCCTCCCGCCATTAGGATAGATCGGATCCTTGCGGTCCTGAATGCATGCCTAATGCCGGCACCTGGAGTAGGGTGTGGGCATATGTAGATGGGCTTCACCTGGGCTGAGAGACTGGGCTTATAAGGGCGGCATCACGGGGACACCAGCAGAAGAGCAAAAAGAATGTAAGAGCAGAGCAAAAGAGAAGAATGAAAGAAAGCCCATGAGAAGAAGGCCGGAGAGCCCAGATAGAGTGAAGATTCGCCGGGGGCTGGGAGGCCTGCCAGCCTCCCGGCCCCCCGGGCCTCCTGCCTGCGTGTACCTAGTAAATCCCAATAAAAGCCTTTAAAAGCCACCGAGGGCTCTAGGACTCTGTCCTTCACCCGTCTGCCTGAGTCATAGAGATCCTGCACTGTCCCTTCCTGCTGCTACACTCCTGTTCATGGCTGAGTAGTATTCCAGTGAACAAACCTGCCCTGATTGGTTGAGCTGTGCTCCCATTGATAGATATTTGTGGTATTTCTAGATTTGTCTTTTTTGGAAACAGGCTGCTGTGAATATCCTTGTACAAGCCTTCGTGTGGACATACCCTTGGCTGAACAGTTAGGAGCAGGATTGCGGGGCTGTGTACATGGCGGTTCTCTCTACAGGAAGCCACCAAACAGGCCTCCAAGTGGGTTGTGCTGTTTTGCAGACGCACCAGCAACCTGCGGGCTTCTCTTCCCTGTGTCCTGTGTCTGCACCGATTTCCGTGTCGTGAGGCGGGGTTAGATTTTCTGTTATCTCAGTAGGGATTGTAATTTGCAGTTACCTGAGCACCCCTGATGTTGAGAACTTTTTACTTGCCATTGTGAAGTGTCTGTCCATTAGTTTTTCCATTAGTTGCCTGCTCATGTTAAATTTTGGGCATGTATATTTTTTTGTCAAACGTGAATCTTGAACGTTTCTTCTCTGTCTGTTAAACATTACCAGAAATGTTCAACTTTGTTAAGACCTGCTACATTGTTTTTCGAAATGGTTTCGATTTGTTGGCTAAACCGTCTTTGCCTAGCCTAGAATCACAGTATCTGCTTTGTCTAACATAACAGCCACTTGTCCCTTGTGTCTGTTTCAATAAAGGGAAATTAAAGTTTCACTGATGAGCTGCATTTCAGAGGCTCAGTAGCCACACGTGGTGGGCGGCTTCACGTGGGCTGGCTGGGGTGGAGGCCCCGCTGCTGTACAGGGCTCGCTGGGCCATCTCTGTCTTAATTGCTTTGTGCTTTTTTCTTTAAATCTCAGTAACACAGAAAATGTGCTTGGCAAAATTCAGCCTCCATTTATGATAAAATGCTCTGCAAACTAGGGACAGAGGGGACCATTTTCGAATGTGATAGGCGACATCTGAGCACTGTATGGCTATCCTAATTATGCTGACACATGAGAAGCTTTTCCCCTAAGTTCAGACACAAGGCAGGCAGGCCTGATCTTAGCACATCTGTGTATGATTGTCTGGAAGTTGGGCAATAAAACAGGAAAAAACAATTAGGAGCACAACAATTGAAGTAAAGCTGTCTTTATTTTTAGATGTGCTCATGTACATTCAAAACCCTAAGGAACCTATGTTTGAAAAATCAAATAAAACAAAACGAAACTGCTAGAACTACTTAGGAAAGCTGTGATTTAAAGTTCTTTCAGAAAAATCAACTGTATGTATACAGTTAATTGGAACATATTAAAAGTAGAATATAATTGGCCATATTATAAAAAAAAAAGCGTCAACTACCCCAGAATAACTTAATGACAGATGGGCAGGGCTTCTACCATGAAATTACAAAACATCTTTGGGAGAAATTGTAGAGGAACAAAAGAGAGATGTGCACGGATTGAAAGATAAGATATTGCTCAAATGTCCATTTTCCCCAGACTAATCTGTAGTTGAGCACAATACCCATCAAAGCCGCAGCAGGCTTTTGTCAAAAAATTGACTCATCTATTTAAAGACTTACACAGAAATGGAAAACCTCTTGAATAGCTCAAATAACTTTGCAGGAGAATCTGATTTTAAGACTTACTATAAAGCTGCAGGAGCCAAGATAGTGTGGCATAAAAAGAGACAAAAGATTGGCATAAAAAGAGCCAAGGAGATGGATGGGAGAGAACCTGGGGCCCAGGGGACACTGCCTCTGGTCACTGCTGCTTTCCTGGCGCTGGGGGCTGCTTTCCTGACTCCAGGCTGGTGGCCGCGTGCCCCTCCACCACCTTTCATTTTTAACAGCTGTGCGATATTCCACTGTTGGCGTCATCTTGACTTGTTTAACCGGTTCTCACATGATAGGCATTTGCTTTGTTTCTGTGCTTCTACTATCGCAGCAGGCTGCAGTAAACATCCTTTAGGACATTTCTGGTTTCTGTGGGCTGAATTACTAGGACTGGAATTGCTGATGTCCGAGGAGTGAAATATTTTTAATTGTAATAGATATTTCCAATTTATTTTGTAATAGATATTACCAGTTTATTTTCCAGAAAGAAGCTGTGCCCCCAGCTCTTGTCTGATCATTTATTTTCAGCCTTTCCATTTAAATTTATTAGGCAAAAAATTGCTTCTTGTTTAATTTGCACATGGTGACTTGTTCATGTGGGTTATGTTTTTAGATTTTTTTGATATCTGTATGTTGTCTCTCACTTTTTCTAAAATTAACTCACATTCTCTGAAACATTAAAGATTTAAAAAAATACCTGTAAACCAAGCACTTAACATAATTTATGAAATTATGAATTCTTCATCTATGAACTATCCCATACTTTATTTGTACCAACCATCTAATTACTTACATAATACTATGGAATACTTACAATTAGTTTTGACCAATTTCTGTATGTTGTAAATCATCTACTCTTCTATTATCATGAGGAAGGTTTTAAATGTTTTCAGGTGAGGGAGTTACTTGTGTTTCGCTGACGATATATTAATTTAAGGCTATGGACGCTTAAAAGTACAGTCATTAGACTTAAAAGACTTTTGTAGTCTTATCACTGGAAAATAAAAAGATTATTTAAAAATCTTTTCATGTCCTCACCCATCTTACTCCTTATCTTACTCTCACTTGTAAGGGCAGGAAGGGCTACTCAGCAGGTTTTCTGATCCAGCAGACTGGGTACAGGAGTTCTGAAACCCTCGGTGGGTTTTGCAGGCTTTTATTGGGATTTACAAGGTACACAGCAGGCAGGGGGGCTGGGGGGCTGGGGGGCCTCCCAGCACCCAGCAAGTCTTCACTCTTTCTGAGCCCTCCAGCATTCTCTGGCATTCTCTCTGCTTCTGCTGGCGTCCCCGTGACGCCGCCCTTATAAACTCCGTCTCTCAGCCCAGGTGTGCGCACTTCAGGTGCCGCCATCAGGCCTGTATTCAGGACCCCAGGGTGCCCTCATCTATCCTCATGGCGGGAGGGCAGAAAAGCCTGATACTTTTACCTTACCCTATACACTCTTATATAAGGATATTTAGGAAGCACATTAAAAGTTAAGAATTTTTCTTGTTTGAAAAATCAGTCCTAAAATTTAATTTTAGGAATTCCAGCTTCAGAAAAGGAACTCAGATGGCGAGAGGGCCCAGAGGCTTCCCAGAACAAAGCCTGTCTCACAGGACGCCCTTCTCATGGTGGCGTGGCTTGTCCCCACGTCACAAGCTCTAACATTTTAACCACGTTCGAGTGTAAAATTCAACGTATATGTGCGGCGTTTAGTACATTCCCTGTGCACAGCCATCGAATAGCTCCAGAACGCTTTCAGGAGAATGCCTTTGTGCCCCTGTGGGACTATGAAGAAAATATTTGATTTTGTTCCTTAACGCTGGGGAGCTGGTTTCCGTCGCCCAGCCTGGCCCAGCCTTGTACAGAGGGACATTCCCTGCCACCCGCCTGCAGGCCGGTGCAGGTGAAACCGCGCCGTGCACTCACCTCTCAGAAGAACACCTGACGCTTCGGACGCGCTTGATGAGGCTTCCACCCCGCTCCTCGGAGAGCTGAGTGTGGGTCCCTTCACAGGAGCACGTTAGGAACACCCCTGGGTGTCGGGGCGAACACAGCCTCACACGACCCCTTGTGCGCTCTGCCCTGGCCACGAGCTGAGCGCCTGTGATTTTCTGGATTTAGTAATTTGCGTTTCCATTCTGAACAGGAAGCTGACCAAAGTCTTGAGGAACTACGTGGACAATGCCGAGAAGCCGGGGATCAACGAGCAGCTGTATAAGGCCATGAAGGCCTTGGAGTACATCTTCAAGTTCATCGTGCGCTCCCGGATACTGTTCAACCAGTAGGTGCCCCCCCGCCTGCCTCTCCCTCTTCCCCCGCCCGCCCCGCCCCTGCGCCTCTTGCCGTCCTACCCCTCGCAGCCGCCGAGGGCAGAGACTGGGCTGGGGCTGCCCGCTCTACCCCCGCTGCCGCCGGCAGTGACCTGCAGCTCTCAGAGGCCCCCGCGCCCAAGTCTGCGTGTGAGTCAAACATCGTCTGCTGAGATGCCACGGCCCGGCCCGGCTAGGGAGGCTGTAGCGGGGACTCTGCGGCTCTTTGCCTATCTTTATGGAGAAAAAGATTCCCCAGAAGAACAAATATAATTAAAACAAACAAGCAATAACAACAAAAAGCCAAAACCAAGTAAAACTGCCTCCTTAGGGCAGCCGGGGCTTCCTGCTTCTTCCTTCAGCCTGAACCCTGTCTGGGCTCTGGAGAAGCAGCCCCTCCCGGGTGGCGTCTGTGGGGACGGACACTCCTGGCCCACCTGCGAGGCTTTGTAATTGATTTTGAGCTCTGAAGTGAATTGGGGTGTTTCTGATTTCATAATTTCATAAAGACTACCAACTTCCCCCTTGCTGTCTCTAGGGTCAGGGCTGTGCTAAAATAAAGAGCTTGCAGTCGGCTCTCAGCACTGGACTCCACGAATGAATTGATGCAAAGCGGGGTGAGCTGAGTGTTGGGGTGTCAAGTCCACCCTCCTGGTTCTTGTAGGATGTGGCTTTGGGTGACCTGCTGGTGTGAGGCTGGTGCCTGCTGGGTATTGGGGGTTGATCAGAGTCACCCTTAGACGTGTAGTGAGTCCTAAAGGCGCGATGGAGCTCCTGACCAGCCCCCTCGATGGCTCAGATCCGCGCAGAGATCTTGGGTGGACGTGATCAGGATTCCCAGCCCGGGCCCCACTGCTGGGCAGTTGCCACTGTTGACTTCTGCCTGTGGCACCTTCCGTCCTGGGCAGCCTCAACTCTTGTGACAAGCATGTTGTGCCAGCGGAGAGTTGGACGGGCCAGGCCTGCCTCCCCCTCGGGCCCTCAGGATAAGGCTGTGAAGTAGATTTTTTTTTTTAATTTTTTTTTTTTTTAAAGATTTATTTTTATTTATTTATACAAACACTGGGTACAGTCAGAAGCGCTGGAGGGTGAGAAAATTCACCAGAGCCAGAGCGGGGAGCAGAGCGGGCAGACTGAAGTACACTGCTGAGGGGAGCAGCGGGCACAGCAGGGGGTGTCTGTTGCACCATGTGGGACCCTCCTCTGGTGGCCGGGGAGCAGCCCGGGATTGAACCGGTGCTGCAGAGGCTGCGGGCAGCTTCGCAACCCAGCGTTCAACCGCTGCGCCACCGGGGAGGCCCGAAGTAGATTTTTTTTTAAAGATTTTATTTATTTATACAAGAGCTGGGGTGTAGACCAGAGGTGGGGGGTGGTGGTGGTGAGAGGATTGACCAGAGACAGAGTGGGGAGCAGAACAGGTGGATCCACTGAAATCCACTGCTGAGGGGAGCATTGGGGAGATAGGAGAGGTCTGCTGCACCCTGTGGATCAGCTCCCTGCCTGGGGATCGAACTCAGGCTGCAGAGGCTGGGCATAGCTTCACAGGCTGAGACTTTAACACCTGCGCCACCAGAGAGGCCCCTGTGAAGCAGTTTTTGTTTACCTGGATTTTTTGATTCAGTGCAATAATTTCCATGATAGTGAACTTCTCAGCATCCATTATTTTTATATTCCCCCCAATTTTAATTCTTTGATTATTCTAAATGGAAGCGTTGTTAAGAGGACGAACTTGACGCTGTCAGGGGACACGGACTCAAGAACCTTTGGACCTTGTGGTCAGGGGGCCATGGAGTCAGGGCGTGGGTCTGCCCCGCTCCTTTCTGTAAGAGCTGCTGACGCTCCTCTGGTGCAAGAGAAGTAGCCTCGGTGCCCAGTGTCGCTGCAGTTGTGGTAAATGCTGGCACCCTCTAGCAACTGCTGCTCAGAGGACATGGGACGCACCTGGGTGGATGGACACCAGTGTCCTTTCTCTTTGTGTCTCCTTTATCTCCTCCAGTCTCCAGACACCCCCGGCAGGAGGTCCATGAAAGTTGAGTTTGAAGGATCTTGCTGGGGTTAGGAATGTGATTAACTGTGTGTTGCAGAACGCCTCCCCCAGGTGCAGCTACCTTTTGTGTGCTTTTTGACTTTTCGCCTAACATGGAACCTGGAGGAACAGCCTGGAACTCATGCCGTTTGCTCCATGGCCTCCCCGTGTCATTGGCTCCTCTACAACTTACTACTCCCCCATCCTTAGGGGCTGTCTCTTGACCCCATGGCCCCAAGGTGGCTGCTGCCTCTCCTGGCATCAGCACTGCATTCCAGGGCTAACCAGCACCTCCAGCCACTCTCCTTTTACAGACTTTCCTCAGTCCCTTCAAAGTGTCACGTGCTTTGCGCTCAGTGGCCAGAACCACGTTCCGTGGCCTCAGAAGGTGCAGGGGAGGCTGGGGAGGATTTGCAGATGGGCTTGTTGGTGCTTTTTTTCCGTGGAGGTGCGGGGGTGCTCATGGGGCCATTAATATTCTCTTGTCCTACTTTTAACCCAGACCTTCCCTGCCTGAGAGCTTAGCCCTCCTTCCCGAGTCCGGCTGCTAGAGCTGCTGACTTCCGCTCCGCCCGAGAGTCTTTCTTCCTCACTAGCTCTGGGGTTGCTCTGAGACTCCTGTCCCCCATGTCTCTTTGGGTTTAAGTCACCGGAGCCCTAAGTGACCAGAGACGTGACTTAGGCCTGCTGTGGCATGAGACCCGCGGCAGACTCTGGCCCGTGAGCAGGAGGGGGTGCGTGGCTCCTGTCCTCACGGGCCATGTCCTGTCGGCACAGCCTGAACCCGAGGCTGCCCAGCCTTCCAGGGGCCCGGGCCCGGCGTTTCCGACTTTGTCTCCCCGAGGGCGATGGTGATCTCCTGGGGGTTCTGAGCTTCGAGCTTCCTGTCCCCCTCCCTCCTGTCCCTCCTCCTTCCCTGGGCACTGAATGAGCTCTGGAGCCTTCACTGCATCCCAGACTTGTATTGTCTATGGGCCTTATTTTTTTCTGTGTTGCCTAAATATGTATCTTGGCAGCCGCCTACAAACCTGGAGGGCAGAGAAGGACATATGTTTCCTTTGAAACTTGGAACACAGTCGTGATCCCATTAGATTGGAGATGACAGTACTTCTGAAATTTCACTCTATTGTCTGAAGCTGTGGAGAAGATGCGGTCCTAACGAACAGGTTCTATGGTAGACAAGCGAGCCCGGCCGTAAATGTCGTGGACAGTAAGGGGGGCTGCAGGCCGAGTGATGGAGACGCTCCACCTCGCCCCACCCCCATGGCCCACCATTTCGTCTCCCTGGTTCTTCATCGTCCACGTTCAACGTTGTCCGCGTTCTTCATCCTCCGTCGCAAGGTCTCGCGTGGAGGACGTAACTGCCCTGTTTTGAACAGGCTGCTGACAGAAGCAGCCCCCTGTCGCACGCAGGTGGCTGGATGCTTGCTCCATAGCACGTTCCAAGCAGCTCTCGGGTGGTGGTGTCTGAGGTGGAAGAAGACAACGTGTTTCTCCTCGTTTTCTTACCTCAACACATTGATCACCTCGGGAGAGAAACAATTGTGCTCACAGCTGGAATCGACAAGTGTATTTTCTTTTTGCATTCAGGATGAACTTTTGAGGTATTTTACTTTTCTTCCTCCAATGTTGTCGACTGTCTTTTCAACATAATAGTAGTAGTTTTGTTACATTCCGGGATAATTGGCAGTAATTATTCTTCAGAGAACAAAGAGGTCCCTAAAAGCAGGGAGATGAAGATGTTGAAGCTTATGAGGTCTCCTGCTTGCTCTCCACGATACAAATCTATACTTTCTGTTTTGTCTAGAAAGCTCAATTTGTTCTGAAATGGAACCGCAGTCGAGAAGCTCTGGCTCCAAGACATTTGTTTTGTGGGGGACCTGTGGATAGATCCCCACAAGGCAGGGGCCCCTCTCTGCTGGAGTTTGTTTGTCTGCTTTCTGTGTGGGTGGATCACATGACCCTGAACGTCAGAAAACAGCCCGTCCTGCACCGGACATTCGGAATCCGCTGGCTGGAGCTGGCACCCTGTGTTCTCTGCCTCGTGGCTCGGTGGAGTTTTTGCCTGTCATCTGGGCTTAGCTTTGTGAATAATTAGTTATTGATCATGAATAACTTGTTGCAGACCTGCCATTTGCTCTCCTTTTCTAAGCTGCAGAGATGAGAGTAGTTAACGGACAAAGATATTTTTGTCCCTGGTACTGCTTCCTTACACCGCTTACGTAGAGCAAGGGATGGTGGAGCTTTTTCATTTATTTATCTGCTGCTTTTCCTCTACGTTCTTTCCTCCCACCCCTTCCTACACCTCAGCTCGGGTCAACCAAGTCTCTCTCCTGGTTTATTTGATAAAACCAAGAGGTGAGAGTCTAGAGACCACCCCGCTAGTCTCTCGTTCCAGAAAGATGCTTCGAGGGATTGCTGAGACATAGTAATTGTTTGTATGTCTTATACCCTTTTGTATGTTGGGTAGAGACAGAAACTAGTAATTAAATTTCATTCTCAGGGGTTTGTGGTAGAACTTTAAATACAAATAGGCTCATTAGGTATACCTTGTGGATTTGGATGCTGTTATTGGGGGCGTACACATTTAAAGTTGTGATCTCTTTCTTGTGGCGCCACTCCTTAATCTGTATGGAAATTTCCCTTATCTTTGGGTTAGTATTTACATTTAGTAACTTTTCCGTTATTTTACTTTTGGTTTTCTTGTATCCTTGCATTTAAAGTAGTTTCTTATACACAACATGTAACTTTTTATTTCTTCCAGTTTGCAAATCCTTTTGAGTATTTAATTCATGTGATTAAGTACCGTGTCTAATGACTTTTGGTTAATTTTCTCTTTTACCCATCCATATTGTGGTGTTCTCCCTTTTCATCATATTTTGTCTTTTGTACCATTTGAAATTTTCATCAACATGTCATTCTGGCTAGATTTCTTGAGCCCCACTCTTTTTTTGTGTTACATTATGCATCTCAGTTCCACCTGTACCTAAAACTCCGTAAGACACTGCTATTATTATTTATTAGTATTCATTCAGGGTTTTATATTTATCCTCGTTTTTTCTTCTTTCAATTCTGTTTCTCTCTGGAATCATTTCCCTTCTGCCCAAAGAATCCCCTGTAGAATTTCTTTAGTGTAAGTCTGCTTCGGGTCTTGTCTGTATGAAACTCATTTATTTCATCACTGTGTCTGAGGGATCTTTTTATTTAATATAGAATTCTAGATTGGCAGTTATTTTCTTTCTCCAGATGTTGTTCCTGTCTCTCCTGGTTTCCGTCAGTCCTGGAAAAGTCAGCTTTCAAACTTACTGTTACATTTTTGCAGGCCGTGCTCTCTAGCTTGCTGGCTGCTTTTATATCTTTCTCATTTTTGTGTGATTTTTAGCATTTTTACTGTAGACTATATAACAGTGATTTGTGCTTACCCTTGAATGCTTTGATTCATGTTTTGAATTAATTTTGGGAGACCCCTGGCCATGATCTGTGCTAACGCTGCCTTTGCCCTGTTGTCCCTCTGTTTCCTTCTGGAACTTCAAATCCATGTGTGTTCTGTCTCTTCACAGTGCCCTGCCTATCTCCACTCATGTCCCTGTTTTTACTTTTCCATTTCACTAATTGTCTCCTTTGCGCGCTGCCAGCCCTCCTTAATTCATATAATGAATTGTTAATTTTAGATCCTATACTTTCCAGTTCTAGAATTTGCATTTGATTCTTTTCTACAGATTTACTACTAAAATTTTCCAGCTTAACTTTTAAGTTTTACCTCTATTTTCCATTATTTTCATTTTTCTATTTTCTCCATCTCATTCTCCACTTTAAAATGCAATAAGCACACTGACTTTGATAGTGTTGTTAGCTCACATGACAATATCTTGATCAGCTGTGAGTGTGTTTCTGTTGTTTTCTTTCCTCTTTGATGTGGTCTGATCTTTTCCCATGTTTAGTAATTTTTGTTGAAGCATAGAGCTGTGTATTATATAAAATGTGATCGGTGTCTCCAAGTTCTATTCATTTTTCCTGACAGCTGCTAAAAACTCCAATATGACAGGAGGTTCTCATTTTGGTTTTCTGTCTCCTATCCTGGCAGCTCCAGGAATGGGCTGCCGGAGTGTGTGGCTGTTACTAGAAGTCTCCCCAACCTTTATGGGATCTGCCCAACCTCCCTGCTCCTCACCGGTGATCGGAAGCTCTCGAATCCATCATTTTAATTGTGTGGCGCACCACTTAAGCAAATTCCCATTTGAAAGCCCTTCACAAAATAGATACATGAGATCATAGCTTCCGTTTTAGACAGAAACTGTTGCTTTATAATGGAACTCATTTAAATACACGATTACCTCTAGGGTAATTAATTATCACTTAGTTTATAAAATTTTCCATTATACACAAGTTTTCAGGTATCGTATACTTTTAATTAGGCAGGAAACTAGTGTATATTGATAAAACATCTGAGTTGCAGCATTTTGAAATGCAAATGTACTTTTTAGTAACAGCAACTTAAAGTATCTGCTAATAAATAATTTATAGATGAAACTTATTTGCAATTAGCAAAATATATTTGCATACATGTAGCCAATGCACAGCTTCCTTAATATCTATTTATTGATTATGCTCCACCTCTCAGTAGTTTTCCAGTTCTCACCAATTCTGTGATGAGTTTGTATAGTAACATTATTCTGCATTAGAGTAATTTAGCGTTTACTGTTATAGTGTCATTTCAAACAGTTGTAAGGTCATGTTGAATTTAGGCAAATTAAGCGTCTTTGTGAATGTCAATCATGTGACTTTCTGGGCTTAAAAATCACTGGCAGGAAATATACCCGAAATATTAATCGTGTCTTCTCTGTGGGGAAGAATTCCAGCTGAATTTCCTCATCCTTCCTTCCTCTCTCCCTTTTCCCGTCCTTCCTTCTCTATTTATTTCTCTTCTCCAGATTTATAAAATGCATGTTCTAGTGAAAAGAGCAGTATTAGCAGTGTGGTCGCAGGGAGCTTCCCCGCTGTGAAGGTGCATCCCCACCCCGAGTGGCCCGGGTTGATCAGGTTCCCGATCGTGTGGATGTCGAGGACAGCCCCCGACAAGCTAGCCTGCCCCAGCAGCACCCTCATGGCCTTCGGGGGTTGGGGGGAGTGTGGGGTTCGGTGCCGGCCCCCACGGAGTGCCGTGTTCCTTTGCAGACTGTATGAGAACAAGGGAGAGGCCGACTTCATGGAGTCGCTGGTGCAGCTGTTCCAGTCCATCAACGCCATGATGAGCAGCGTGTCAGACCAGACCGTCAGGGTGAAGGTAGGACCCCGCACGCGGGACCATTTTGCAGGCCCCATCAACCACCGGGCGGCGCGTCCACCAGCCTGCCCTGGACTCCAGCTTGCGGGGGAGGCCCAGGGGAGGCTTCCTGTGAAGCCCCCAGCCCAGGCTGTGCTTCCTCTCTGCTCCCCCACGAGTGCCTCAGACACTGCCCTGGCTTGTCTCTCCGCTCCTGGCCTGGACAGGTTCCGAATTCCTGTCAATGCAGGGAAGTGATGGGAGCTCGTCCCGCTCATGGCGGGTCAGGGCGGCTCGGCCTCTGAGCCGGGTAGGAGGCCGAGGCGTGGCCTGGACATCAGTCAGACTTGAGGCTGTGCGGTGGCCGGTGTCACCTCCTGTCCTGCTCGGGAGGGCAGGGAAGGACCGGGTCTCCCGCCTCCTGCTGTTCTCTCCACCTGGCATCCTTTTCCATGCACTTTTGCCTTGGAAAGGAAGCTGCCTCTCCCGAGAGGGGCCTCAGGATGCCGGGTGTGAGGGCGCAGGACCGTGAGCAGCTGCAGGAGCTGCACATTTGAAGACATCCCTGTTCTGGAAGTTTCCGTGGGACTGACTTTGCAGCAGGAGCAATTAGTAGTTGCAGTTTCTTTCAAGGGGCAAGTATCTTCCAGAAGAGATGCTGCAGCTTCCCGCGGCGCTCCTCCTGGCCACCTGGCCGTCCGTCCTCTCTGTTCAATTTCAGAAAGCGTCTTTCTGGCTGTTGTCTTAAAACTGTTTGGGGAATGTGCCAGCTCTCGAGCTCCCCATTCGGTCTGGATCTAGGATGGGTGTGACCATGGCCACGCCCTGTGGCCCCCCGTGGCCAGAGTCCCTGAGCAGGACGGAGCTCCTCAGGTCCCTGGTGTCCGAGGGGAGGCCACTCTGGCCACGTCATTGGCTTCCTCAGGATCATTCTTGACTTTTATGTGAATTTGTTGTGTAAGTCTGTTCAGAGAAGGCGTTGTGCTGTGTTTATTGAAGTTTCAGGTTAATTTTTCTGGCAACTTGATATTTCCTGAAGCCACCTTCACGTTCCAGGTTAAAATTAGCCCTAAATTTAGTGCGTTCCCTGCTCACTCTGGTGGCATTTAGAAAACAGACGCACGTAGTATAAGAATAGATAGAAATGACAGGAAGTTTGGAGCCCAGGAATAATTTTAGATTTCTAAATATATTCTGACATTATTAAAGTTGGTTTGGCTTGAATCCTGTCTGCCTCCCTCCCTCGACGGCAAGTCCTTTGGTGCCTGGAGATTGGCAGACCCCCCCACCCCCCGGCCCGGGCTTTGGGGTACGAGCTAAGACCTGGCTTCTAAGACCCTGGCTTTGGGGTGCGAGCTTCAGTGCAGACCGTCCGTGTCCAGGTGCCCGTGCGTCTGGAATCAGCGCCTGTGCTGCCAGTGTCCAGTCCTGTCTTTCCGCGCTGGGTGCCCTGCAGCCTCGAGACTGTGGCTTCGTCGGAGGTCCTGCTGTCTGCTCTTTTAACACTTGAAATTTTGCTGTTGCAGTGGAAATACAATTGTGGATCATTTTCATGGAGGAAATGTGAGAAAAGACTGGGCTTTCTTTGGGCTCCATGCTGTTTCTCCAAGGTGGTCCGGGGGCTGGTTGTTTTATGCTTGTTGAGGTCACTGCGGTTGGCAACACTGTACATGATTAAGGGGAACAGTTCACCCGTCTTCAGGTCTTCAGATCACATCACATCCACCGCCAAAGCCCCCCGCCTCACCACCCCCCAACCATTTCCTCCAGCCACTGACTGTGGGATCCCAGCTTCTGTGTCTCAGAGCCCCAGTCACCCCCAGGCCTGCAGGTCTTACAAGCAGAGCGCCTCCCCTAGAGGGCACCACCACCTGGGCGTTTGGAAGCATCTGGAGGGTGAGTTCTCCAACCACTGGCGATGAGAGAAGCCTGAGCCCCAAGAGCTGGAAAAGCAACCATTGAGAACGGACCCCCTGCCTTCCCTGCGCCTTCTGTTGGCCTCACCCCCAGGGAGCAGGCGTCGGCATAGCTTTTGTGTGAAGACACGTAGAGGTGTCCACCGACCTGCCCGGGTGCATGGCCAGGTGGGTGGAAGGATACTGGGGGTCTGGGCTCCCAGTTCTGGGGCTCACACCTTGCCCTGGGCCCCTCTGGGGCAGCGTGCTCTGCCCCACCGTGCCAGGCTGTCCGGGTCAGGGCGCACGCCTGTCCTCCGTGTCCATGCGGGACAGCTCAGGGCGTGGTGCTTTGGGGCTGTGAGACTTCACGCTGTTTCCTCATGGAGCTTCCCCACGGAAGGGACAGCGCCCTGGTCTGTGCACACGGCAGCTCGTGCACTTGGACACCAGGCCAGAGATGGTTGTGTGTGCCCCAGGGGAGGAGAGGGAGGAGTCAGGTGGGCGGCCACAGGCCCCTTAGGGGCGTGCAGACTGAGCCTGGGGCTGGCGCTGGGGTGCTGTGTGTTGAGCAGCTGTGGGGTTCAGGGGCTGGGTTGGGGTGTTAGGGGCTTTGCATTTGGAGTGACGGCAGACCTTGGCATTTTTGCTAAATTCCACAAATACCACCACAGCTCCATGGGATGATCTTCGGAAGGGTGACCCTCTGACGTAGACCCAATTTGCTGTTCTGTCAGGGGCTGGGAATTCTACAACTTTCTGCAGAGGGAAACTGACCACGGTCCACTATAAGAAATAGATTCTCTGGGGGTGCGGGGGCTCGTCCACGTTCTTGTGAGCGACTGTGCGGGAGGCTGACATACCTCACCAGCGCGCCCGCCCTGTGCCTCGCCAGGCTCCTGGCCTTCCCCTTGGCGGCTGGGGTCCTGAGTCTGTTCTCAGTGACTGTGTTGCCCCAGAAACAATCCGCTGTTTGGCAGGAACGGAATTTATTTCCTGAATGGCTCATGTATCTCAACCCACCTGTGAAAAGCTCTGCTCTTCATGCTTTCAAATTTCTTCCACTTTCCCCTGTTCAATTTTGCATAAAAACTTGTTTCCTGTGTCTGTTCCACTGTCCCCAGCGCTGCAGGCCGGGCTCAGGGGCCCTTCCTCCAGGGAGTGGATGACGGGGTGAGGGCTGGTTGGAGGAGGCCCCAGGTGGAGGTGGGGACAGGCGGGTGAGGCTGTGTCCGCCTTGGGGAGGCCTCTGGGGTCCCGGCTTCCCTGCTGCTGCCGTTTTCCTCTGGCCTTTGCAGGAAGGAAGTGCCCGGGAATAAAACGACTCTGTCCTCACGGTACAAAGCTGCAGGTGACTTTGGTCCTCCGCAAAGCAGAGCTTCCGTTTCCTTAGAAATAAGCTCCTGCCGCGAGGGGAACTTAACCTACTTGTCTTCACTCATCCAGAGTCCTTCCTTATCAAAGGTTTGGCTGCTTTTTGACTGTTTCCAAGCTACATCTGCAGGCTGTATGCTGAGAAGCTTCTTTGACTTGACATGTCTGGGCGTGTCAGGGACGGCGCCAGCTGGCTCAGAAGTGACAGGGTTTCCGAGCCCCTCGGGCCAGGTGTCACAGGTGACGGCCCCCCGGGCTGGGAGTGCGCGAGTGACAGGCTCCTGGCTCTGCCGGCCTCGCGCCTCCTGCTGCTCCTCCTCTGCTGCCTTCGTGTCTCCTTGACCACGCGGAACTTCCCAGGTCCTGCCAAGGAAACCGACACTGGACATTTCCTGGCCCTCAGTTTTTTTTTTGTTTAGTCAAATTTTATCAATTCACCACTTGTTGACCTACCCGCCGCCTCACACCTCGGCGTGTGGTCACGCTGCGCCCGCCCAGCCCCGAGCTGCCATCCGCTTTCCCAGACCCTGTCCCGCCCCGCAACCTCGGTGGCTTTCAGAGTGAGTGATTATGTCGTGTTCGCCGTGTTTTCCTGGGTTGTGTGTTTTCCACAGCGAGGCCGGCCATCCGGTGACTGTCTTTCCCTCCTGGCTTCGCCGGGTGCCGTCCCCGCAAGGTGCGTCCTCGTCGCACAGGCACGACCTCCTCGAAGTGGCTGGGTCAGTGCATTTTGCAAGTGCACCTGCAGCGGCTTCCTCCGTGCCGTGCCCGGGGCCTGAAGTGGGCTCCGGGAGGCTGCCGCGAGCCGCACCGCGGGCCGGGGGCAGGACGGGGTGTCCTGACGTCACGTGTCGGGGAAGCGGCTGCGAGTGGGGTCGCTGGATGGCCCGGTGTCTCCAGGAGTCTCCACACCGTTCTCCACAGCAGACTCACAGTCCCGCCAGCGGCCAGCAAGTTTTCTTTCCCCCACCCCATCACCAACACCTGTTTCCAGTCGTTTTTATTTCATGCAAACAAAACAAGGAGCCATCACTTCATGTCTGTGAAAATGGCCCATTTTAAATGTAAATGTGATCTTTTGTTAAGGAGTGAAACTAGCAAAATGTTAATGAAGGAAAAGAAGGATCACTTATCACACGTCTGGGGCTCACCCGTCTCACCGTCAGCTTTTCTGTCTTTATAGTTGTGCTTTTTCTCCTCAAAGCCGCCATGCGCAGACCCCGGCGTGCACGCCCCGTGTACTCACACGCAGCGGTAGTGCATCGCTTTCCTCTTCCTCCACACATTTCTCTCTGTCTCCAGGGCTTTGCAAGAGCTTATTTTACAAGGTGGCTGATTCCCTGATGCTTGAATCCTGACTTTTTAAGCACTTTGCTATTGGGGGCTCTTAGGTTGTGTCTGGTTTTCATTTCTGTAAACAGCCTCCTGGCTGAGCCGCTCTCTGGCTCGTGGCTGTGGGTGTCCGGATTTCCAGTGCTCTGAGGTCCTGGGAAAGACACAATCTGAGCTGCTAGGACGGGCCTGAGTCTGTATGATCACCAGCCGTGGCCTTCCACGAAGCCCATCGCTCCTCCTCTTGGTGGTGAAGCTGTTCCTGTGTCCGACCCTTGTTTGATGTCTCCTGCACCGGCGCTGGGGTGATGCCTGTGGTGTCTGTGCAGATAGAGCCGCTCTGTAGACTGAGCTCGGGTGCTGGGGCACGAGAGGCTGCGGGGGAGATACCAGCCCAGTCCCGAAGGGGCTGGAACGTAT